GTTTCTTCCTCCTCTTCGAATTCCTGGAAACTGCCCCCACCACATCCACATGTTCCCAGACACAGACCGATGTGTGCGCATGCTCAAGTGCAAACACTCACGTTCCCACATGAAACCTCAACCACACGTGGATTTACTCCTGTCCAAGGTCACATTAAGACTTTCATGGGCCCCTTTCTCCATTAGAAAGTTAAATATATATATATATATATATATATATATATTTTACAACTCTGTTGGTAGATAAAAAATGAATATCACCCAAGCTGAATTTTATCATTATTATATACTCATTATCATTGTATCCTCTCTTTTTTCTTACTTTAAACTAAATTAAGATTGAAACATTTTCGTAGGCCCCTCAAAGTATGGCAGGCGGTTGGCGCACACCTTCGGAGGAGGCCTGACGGAGAAGTCAGGCCTGCCAGCCGGCAGGAACAAATTCACACACATCAAGCCCACGAGCCGTATTACATTAACTCAGTGAGTGTTCATAAAGTATCCACTCTATTATTAATACTCGTCGTTTCCTTGGCACCTTTTCTGTGCCAGGCACTAAGTGAAGTGCTTTCCATGAATTATCTTATTTTTATTTCTAATTTATAGGTAGGGAAAGTGACTTGCCTCTGGTGAGAGAGCCAAGGTCTGCATGACATCAAAGCCTGTGTTGTAATCATCTCCCCAGGGGTCTGTTCAGGGCCTGGGCCTGGGTGGCACCAAAGGTTCTGTGTCATGCTCACTCCCGTGCACGCGCACATGCCCCGGCATGCACGCCCCACCCCCACCCCGGCCCTGGCAGTCAGTTTCCTGCCGCAAAAGCCTAAACAGTTTCAATCCCCAGCCCCAGGGCAGTGAGGCTAATTAAGCATATCCTTGTCCTGCACAGGCTCTCCTCGCCCTCTGTGGACCCAGGTTGCCCACGCCACCTCCAGCCCCAAGAACTGGCAGTGCCCGAAGAGGGTGAGGCGCTGAGGTTGTGGCTGGGGAGGAGAGAGGGCCATGAGCTGGGTGGGGTCTTCTCCAGTGTGCGTGTGCTGCCCTGTGCTGGGCACCGGCTGCTGTAGGCCCTCCTCCGACCTCTGGGAGCTCAGTGTGACATTAGTCATTATTTTATCATTGTTACCACTGTCCTTGCCTGTTAAAACGGATGAGGACAGCACCTGCTTTCCTGGGCTGTTAAAAGGGTCCAGTGACGTATGTACAGTCCTTACCACAGTACCTGGTGTGGAGTGAGCACTCAGCAAATTAGAGCTGAATGTTTTCAAATAATTCCTACAACTGTAATCCAGAGAGATGATAAAGGCAAGATTTAGAGCAGAGGAAGTGTAGTCACTTTAGCAGAAAGGACAGAATCTATCGACATGGAGGGATGTGGTCAGAAAGAGCATCAGCCTATTGGACATGGGCAGATTTTGAACCAGTTGGTTAGGAGGCGGCCAAAGAGGGTCCCTGTAGGGTTGAGTACATTGGAAAGAGTCAGTGGGACATCAGACCCAGGACGAGAGTGGCCCACCCTGCATTCTCCCAGTCTAAGGGAACCAGCTGGCCCCATTTGCCCAGGATGGTCCCCGTCTTAGCACTAGAAATCTCACGTCCTGAGAAACCCCTCCATTCTGGGCAAGTGGGCCCATTGGTCACCTAGAACACATGGTAGGCACAGGGTACCAGCTGTGCCCAGCATGGGGCTCAGACCTGGCCTTGGGCCCCAAGTCCCCTGGCTGAGAGAAGCCGAAGCACGCCAGTGGCACCGCCTGACATGACACACTGTGGAATGTCCCTCCTGATAACCATCACACCACCCTTTGTTACTCCAAGCTCTAGTGCTTAGCTGCAGGGATCAGGGACTGCTTTCTGCCGGATGTCCCTGAGAACTGACTCAGTTCTGAGAATTGGGAGGGTGAACTCTGGCCACACTGACCTCAGAATCTCCTAGCAGCTTCCGCTCCGGGGCCTTTGCACCGTCCTCTCTGCCTGACACGCTTTCCTCTCCTGGACTCAGCTTGAAGATAAGAGTCTCCTAATCTTGCTGGTGGAAGTGGGTTCTTTTCGCGGGATCACAAGGAAAGCATTCCAAGAGTCCCACGTATGGGAGATTATGGCGTGGTGAGATTTATTTGGGTGAAAACAGAAGACTGTCCCCATATTCTCAATGTCTCACCTCCATCCGTCCCCCAGGGGAAAAAGTCCAACTTTGTCTTCATAAGGCCCAGAAATAGGGTCAATGTCCAAAGATTGTGTGCCATGCCGAAATTTAGTCCCTATCAAAGCTTAGTCCACTTCCTGGCCATGCTCCGCCAGCGGGCCACTGCGGTGTCCATCACCCAGGCTTGCCTCGGAGCCCACAGAGAGCTGGGAGCAGGCTTCTGTGGTCACCCTCCTGGCTCCTAATGCCCATGTGCTTATCTTCCCCCATAGTCTGAGAGAAGCCAGTCCTTCCTCCACCCAGTCCTACAGGGGAGGAAGGGGTGGTAGTCCTCTTTGTGAGGCAATGCTGTGATCCCCTGGGGTATCTATGAATGGTGCAACTTCCTAGCAAAGCAGACTTATGCTTCCTATTGATTATGCTTAATTCTGATTTCCTTTGCTCCCTTCCTTTGTTAATATTTAGTTACCTACACTAATACTTGGACTGGGCGGGTGCCCACAGTACCCTCTAGAGCAGCCCCCAACCCTCTACACCCACTTCTTTTATAAGGCTTGTCCTGACCGTGGAGGAAAGAGGAAGGAAGGAAGGCTGAAGGAAAAGTCTCAGACTGCAGGGCAGTTCTCAGAAAGTTCCAGCAAAGCCAATGGAACACTTGAGAGTGCATGTCTCCCAGCTGCAGCCTGCCTCACTGTCCCTCAGGTGCCGCTCGGGAGCAGCCATGGAGTCTTGGCCTAAGGTCACAGCTGTCCCCTCAGTCAGGCCCCTGGACTCAGAGGGACACATTCCCATGGCAACTATAAGGGCACTGCCTTTTTTTTAAAACCGCGGCAATTTTTAAAAACATCTTTATTGAGATATAACAATCCATGCACCATATAATTCAGCCATTTAAAATGTACTATTTGGTGGTTAGTATATTCACACTTGTGCAATCGTGAGCACCAATTTTACATTTCATCAGACCAAAAAGATACCCCGGACCCATTAGCAGTCATTCCTCACTCCCACTCCACTCCCAGCCCAAGGCAATCGCTTATCTACTCTCTGTCTCCGTAGATCTGTCTCTTTCTTATAAATAGAATCATGTAATTTGTGGTCCTCTGCGGCTGGCTTCCGCCGGCACAGCGGTGCAGGGTCCATCCATGCTGTAGCGCGCCCTCCACTCCCTCTTGCTGTCAATTGATATTCCAGCACATGGATTTGCCACATTTTGTTCATCAACTGATGAGCATTTCAGTTTTTTCCACTTTTTGGCTATTATGAATAATGCTGCTTATGTATATATGTGTACAAATTTTTGTGTGGACATGTTTTCATTTCTCATGGATAGATACCTAGTAGTGGAATTGCTGGGTCTAATGGAAACTGCGTTTAACATTTTGAGGAACTTCTAGGGTATTTTCCATTTTACATGCCTAGGAGCAGTGTATAAGGGTTCTGATTTCTCAGCATCTTCAAAACACTTATAATTATCCATCTTCTTTGTTATAGCAACCATCCTAGTGGGTTTGTAGTTGTATCTGAATGTGACTTTTCCCTAATGACTAATGATGTTGATCATATTTTCCTGTGCTTATTAGCCATTTATATGTCTTTGGAGAAGGTCAAATCTATGATTTGCAAATATTTTCTCCCATACTATGGGTTGTCTTTTCACATTCTTCATGGCATCCTTTGAAACAAATCTTTTAATTTTGATGAAGTCCAGTTTATCTATTTCTCCTTCTGTTGCTTGTACTTTGGGTGTTGTATATGAAACCATCTTCTAACTCAAGGTCACAAAGATTTACTCCTGTTTTCTTCTTAGAGTTTTATAATTTTCGTTTTTACATTTAGGTTTATGACCCACTTTGAGTTCATTTGTGTGTGCGCTGTGAGGGTCCAAATTTATACTTCTACGTGGGGAGACCCAGTTGTCCTGGCACACTTTGTTGAAAAGACAGTTCTTCTTGTATTGAGTTTTCATGGCACCTTATTGAATAACAATTGACCATGAATGTAAGAGTTTTTTCTGGACTCTGAGTTCTATTCCATTGATTATATGTCTGTCCTTGTGCCAGTACCTGTACTGGTTCCTGTAGCTTTTTTAGTAAATTATGTGCAGTGAGTCCTCCAATGTTTTTCAAGACATTCATCTTTTAAATGTCGGTCTGTTTAGACTCTTTTGGTCTATAGTGACCCAGACACTTTTTCTCCCTGCATTTTATTTGTTGAAGGAACAGGGTCAATTGTTCTAAAGAGGTCCATCAGTCCACATCTGTTAAACTGCATCTCTGTGGTGTCCCTTGTATTTTAGTGATCAGAGGCCTTACTTGATTTGGATTTCATTTAGCATGAGAATAATATACAGGTGATGTGTGTATTTCCAGAGTCAAAACATAATGTAGGGTTGACTGTGATATTAGGGGCTATTCATGATCTTTACCTGGATTGTTTTTTTGTGGGGGGTTTTTCCCCCATTAAGGGGGGTTTACATTTTATTTATTTATTTACTTATTTATTTATTTATAGAGTGGAAAGAGGGAGAATGAGAGGGAGAAAAACATCGATGTGTGAGAGATGGGTCGCCTCTTGCACCAACTGGGGACCTGGCCTGCAACCCAGGCATGTGCCCTGACTGGGACTCGAACCAGCGACTTTTTGGTTTGCAGGCCAGAGCTCAGTCCACTGAGCTACACCAGCCAGGGCTGATTTACATTTAAAAGAGTCGCCCTGGTTGCTGGGGTGAGAGGGGGTGATAGGGTAGTTTTGAGGACCGGGGGATAATCTTGCAACAAAGCACTTACTGCCATGCCTGATGCACAGTGGCCACTCAATAAATATTAGCCCTTGTTGCTATTGTCGTTGTTATTAGAGCTGTGTGTTGGGAACTCAAGCCCTGGGCTCGGAGCCATTTTCTGGCAGGGTGTTCTACTCCCTTCTCCTCTGCCCTGGGAGAAGTCATCAGTGCCCCATGGCTTTGGGAGGCATGTTCAGGAATTCGGCAGCCACCTCTTTTTACCTGGTTGGGCTCCTCCAGAGAAAGAAGGCTGGAGCTTCACTCAGCCGATGCTTGCACCAGACTGTAAGTGCATCCTGCCGCCTCCGTGACCCAGGGCCCCTGGCATCTGGCTTGGTCTTGGCTTCAAACCTGCGCATGAGCCTCCTCTTTCGGGAAGCCTTCCCTGACTGCACCCTGAATGTGTCCCCCTCCCCACCCTTGCCTTTAATCTAGAACTTATAGCTCTGCATCTGAATTGCTGCTTGGTGCTGTGGCCTCCCCATCCCCCACTGTGTCCTGCCCATGTTCGTTCGGTACACAGTCCATACTCAGTGAACGTTTGGTGAATAAGCAAACCAAGTTTTGTGTTTATGCACAAAAACCAATGTGATTATGCACATTGTGCATAAGCCCAAGAACAGCACTGCTGCCTCACTTATCCAAGTGTTGTGTGACGTACTTGAAGGTCACTCCTTTGAGCACCCCAAGTTTCTGTGGTACCCCCGTTGCTTTTATCTCCTTCCTAAACGCATTCACCTCTTTCTTTTCTCTTCCTCTGTGCCCCTGTACCCCTCTCTACTCTTTCCCTCCCTAACCCTCCACATTTTTAATCATAAAAATAAAACAGTTTAGAAAATTTGGTCCTGGTGGTGTGGCTCAGCCGGTTGGGATGCCGCCCGGATACACCAAGGCTGCTGGCAGCCCCCCGGCAGGGCACGCGCACACATCGCCAGTGAGTGCAGGGGGTGGGGGGCAACGAGCCGATGCTTCTCACTCTCTTTCTCGCGGAAATGAATAACTAAAATTTAAAAAGGAAAAGAAAATTTGGAAAATAAGAAAATTGTAAGGAAGAAAATAAAAAATATCTCTTAACCAACCAGCCAACCAAAGATAATCACTGCTAATTCACATTTTGGTGATAACATGATTTTCCCTGGAAGGGATCACCCTCATTTTAAACTTTTTTAAAAAAGATTCTATTTATTTAATTTTAGAGAGAAGGAAGGGAGGAAGAGAGGGAGAGAAACATTGATATGCAAGAGAAACAGCGATTGGTTGCCTCTCCCCTGACCCCAACTAGAGACCTGACCTGGAAACCAGGGATGTGCCCTGACCGGGAATCGAACCAGCAGCCTCCTACACCAGGCAGGGCTCATTTTAGTTTTGGTCCCAGCTGGGGAGCTCAGTTGGTTAGAGAGTTGTCCTGATGCACCAAAGTTGCAGGTTCGATCCCTGGTCAGAGCACATACAAGAATCAATCAATGAATGCATCAGTAAGTGGAACAACAAATCAATGCATCGTTTTCTCCCCCTCTCTCCCTCTTTCTCTCTCTAAAATCAATACATTTTTTAAAAACTAAACTCTTCATGTATAGTGAGTGCCAGCGTGGTGATAGGTGTCAGGGATTCAGTGAAGGGAGGGCACTGCCAATGTCGGCAAAGCTCCCCCTAGGTGCCTGTCCCCACACCGGGCTCTCTTTGAACCACTTACATTGGCAGGACCCCCAGGCTATGGAAAAACCTGGCCCATATACAGATGGTCCTCAGGCCCTTGGGGACACGGCCTTGGTGCTAGCAACACTGCTGTTGCTGCCACCCTGGACAGGGTCCTGTCCGGCTCCTCCTGTGGCCTTGGGCAGGTCCCTAACCCTCCCTGAACCTCAGGTCTTCGTCTTCAGAGGGAGGTTATCATAGCCACCTCTGATAGGGACGCTGTGGGGACAGAGAAAGACCGTGAGAAGCAGGGCTCACTGTCAGCCACTGCAGGTGGCTGAGGAGAACATTAGAGACCTGCCAGCCATGAGGCTCACAAAGCTGCTCAGGACCTCAAAACCCATGCTCCCGCTATACCAACGCAGAGACTGAGGCCAGGAGGAGCTAAGTCTCCTGTCCGGTGTCACCCAGCCAGGGTGGACTCAGGACCTGTTTGTGGCCCTCAGCCGGGCCAGTATCTGCGGATAAGGGGGCAGCTGCCCTGGAAGGAACACAGGGGAGGGAAGAGGTGGCTGGAGGAGGGCCCCCGAGCCCCCCAGAATTGAGCAAGTTCATCTGGGTCAGCACATGGCCTCATCTCAGACAGGCCTGAGTCGGAGTGTGTTTGTCGTGTGACCTTGAACACAGCACCCCCACCCTGTTTTCTCATCTATAAAATGGGCCCCGAGAAGCGAACGGAAGAGCTTAGCAGGTCCTCTGCACACGGAAGCTGCCACCGCCACTGTGGCCGTGATCCTTCCCCTGCTCCCTACCGCCCCCCGCCTCCTGCTCCCCCTCTTTGGCCTCCCAGCCCGTCCTGAGTCAGACTGTACCCTGATTGTATCCAGTCTGTGTCTCAGGAGCCCAGGACCCAGGCTGGCGGGTGGCAAGACCCAGCCTGGGAGTGGATGGGAGGGGCTGCGTCGGGTGCGGGGAGGTTGCTGCCTCTCTTCCTCGGGGCCCAGGCTGGGGCACCTCCTCCCCTCTGACCCTCCCGTTTGCTCTTTCTCCAGCTCACCATGGCCAAAAGGCTGCATGCTCGAAGGCTGGATGGGATCGATCACAACCCGTGGTGAGCCGGGCAGGGCCGGGAGGTGCGGGGGTGTCCCCTCGGGCATGGGGGGCAGAACACGGCTGGTGGTCCCTGGGTCTGCAGGAACTCAGTAGTACCCAGGATGGTCAGATCAGCAGCCACAGCCCACGAGAGGCAAGACCCGAAGCAGCAGGCTTGGGTTCAAGCTCAGCCTCACCCCACTTGACCCTGGCCCCGGGGCCAGTGACACCTGCCCCGAGCCCCAGCTCCCCAGCCGCAAAATGGAGATAATTCTATTTCCCTCTAACGGCCTTGGCGGGGGGAGATAAGACAAAATACTGATGATAGCAATAGCCATTCCCAGCCACAGGCTTCCCAGGGCCTCTTATTTCACGCTCAGTACAGAGTGAGCCGAGCTAAGCCGAGAAGGTGAGACGCAGGCGGCTCTTCACTGGGCATTGGCCGAGGTGCACTTCTTTTCTTCACTGACTTACGCTCAATACGGAAGGATATGTGCCCCGCATCACAGAAGATGGGATGGATGCCGTGGGAAGATGTGCGACGAAGGTTGCGCAATCTTCCAGTCCACACCTGACCTTGGCCTGTGGCCGAGTGGATGAAATAGCTGTTGTACTTTTACACAACGGAATACTCCTCAGCTGTAAAAAAAAAAAGGAAAAGAAAATCTTACCCTTTGGGCCAGCATGGATGGACCTGGAGAGCATTATACTGAGTGAACTAAGCCAGTCAGAGAAAGACAAGAACCATATGATTTCACTCATGTAGAATCTAATGAATAAACGGAACTAACAAGGAAAATACAGACAGACTCATAGAGAGAGGACAGGATGACAGCTCTCACAGGTGGGGAGCTAGAGAGGAAGGATTGAGCCAAAAAGTTAAAAAAAAAAAACCTCATGGACACGCACAGCAGTGTGGGGATCGCGGTGGGTGGGTGGGGAGAAGGGGTGGAGGCGGAAGGGAGTGTTGGGGGATAAATGGCGGTGGGAAAAAAATAATAAATAAATAAAATCATTGGCTGTTTTTACAAAACATGGGATGATTATTTCTTTTAAACTCCCCTCATGCACAGTGCTTTGTGTTTTGCGAATATCTCCCTCCCATACCGTCTTCAACGCTCCACGGTGTTAGGGATGGAGGGGTCAGGCCCAAATGCCCTGTAGAGTCTGACTGAGGTCCACATTGGGGCTCCGGGGTCCTGATCCTCAGGCTGCCACCCTCTGTCCTCTCTGTGAGGCAGGCTGGGCAGCCTGGTGGCCCAATTTACAGATAAGGCAAAGTGCCACTCAGAATGGGGAGTGAACGAGGAGGTAGGCTGGGAGAGGCGGCAAGAGTACTTCCTGACGCAGGCTTGGTGGGCTCTCGAACTTAACCACCCCCCCTGTACAGGGGGGCAGAGGCCAGGAGAGGCGAAGCCAAGAGCAGCACAGGGCGGAGCAGCTGGGGGCCCGGGGAGAATGCGCGGAACAGGAGGGCCGTGTTTGGGATCGAGGTTATGAGAGTCGGGGGGAAGATGGGCCCCAGATTCCTCTGACCCTATGAGCCCAGCCTGGAGGGCAGCCAGTCTCTGTAGAATGTTTGGGCCTGGTCCCCTGTCCTGATCACCACCCACCCCTGGACTTTGTCTCTCAGCACTGCCGTGAGCTGCTCTGTGAATCCAGGCAGGTCACTGGCTTCTCTGAGCCTCAGCAGCTCCCTGTGTCTTCAGGGGCCTTGTGGAGCTCTGGGGAGAGAGTGACTGAACGATAGTTACTGTTATGCAAATTTAACTCAGCCAACCTGGAACCCCGTACCAGCCTCATCCAGCCTCCCAGCCTCTCTCCCAGTTCCCCTGAAGAGATGGCCACCAGGCAGGCGCACGAGAAAGGTGGTCAAGGGTCAGAGATGGCAGGTGGCAGAGCTGGTGGGGCCCCGGCTGTCCAGGGTAATGATCAAGAGCATCAGCTTCGCTCCAGCAGACAGACGTGGAATCGCACTAACTGGACAGGTCCCTCCAGACTTCAGCCTCTCCATTCCCACTGTGATTCAGGAATAAGATGTGCCTCATAGACGTCGGGAGGGTTATGGGAGCAAGCCTTTCAAGATGGCGTTGACAAATGCACAAATCGCTCATGAAAGCCACCCTGGAGTGGGGGGTGTTGCTCAACAAGTATTTCTAGGGAACTGAACCGGATTGGATAGGATAGGAAAGGAACAGTATGGAAGGGAAGTAGATCACACCAGAAGGATAATGTTATTGCCTTGTGTGCTCTGCAGGGTTTGTGAGGTAAAAGATGATTTCTTACTACAGATCATGGTTGAAGAAAAGTTTCAAAGTTTGAAAGCAGTGTTTGGCATAGTGCCTGGCCCACCTAATTGAAAGGCATGGGACTAGTTATGAGCCTGACACAGATCTTCAGGCCAGGGCAGATGCTCGTTGCCCAGTTTTTCTAGAAAGGTCCATTTCTATGGTAATGATCTCATTGCTCACCTGCCCTGGAAACAGGCAGAAGTCCAGGGTGGGGTGGAGGGATAGGCTGGTGCTAACTCTCCATTTGTTGCCCAGGGTGGAGTACACCAAATTGGCCACAGAGTATGATGCTGTGAACTTGGGACAAGGCTTCCCCGACTTCCCGCCTCCAGACTTCGCCGTGGAAGCCTTTCAGGATGCTGTCAGCAAGGACTTCATGCTCAACCAGTATACCAAGGCATTTGTGAGTTTCCCAGCCGCGCCAGGGCCCCTGGACACAGGCCTCTGAGGAGGCCCTGGGGGAGGAAGGGGCAGAGCCCAGGGAATTCAGGCCAGCCATAGTCCAGTGTTCACTGAGTATGTCCCCAGTTTCAGGCCCTGGGGCAGCTCATAGTCTAGGGAAAGGAAAAAAACAAAAACAGAAGCAAAACTGAAAACAAAGGCAGTTGATATGCTGTGAAGGAAGAGAATGGGGCAGGAAGGAGAGGAGATCAGGGAAGGCTTCCTGGAGGGGGTGACATGTAAGCCGAAGCCTGAAAGACAAGCTACTGATTGAGACATGCAATTGATGTCGTTTGACTAAATTCAAACTCTTTCTGTAAAGGGTCACAGAGTAAACATCTGCCAAGCCTTGGAGTAGACCAATGGTTCCTAAATGTTGGTTTGCATCAGAATTGCCAGGAAGAATGCTCCCTCTGATTCCATCGTCCATAGATGACTCCTGCTAACAGTTTGCTACTTTTCTTAGAGTGTTCAGACTTTTAAACTTTTAAGTTTACACACACACATTTATATAATGCTTATATAAAAACACACACACAAACACACGCATGTCTACCTACCTGAGATTTGTGCTTAACACAAATGGACTCATACTATAAATAACATTCTGTACCTTGTTTATTTCACTAAACAGCATGTCAGGGACAACTTTCCTTGTCAGAATAGCTCGTTCTTTTTCATGGCTGCATAGTATTCAGTTGCCTAGATTGAATAATTTACTTAACCAGCCCTGCTCTGCTCGACTGGCTTGGGTCATTTACTGTTATAAACAGTGTCACAGTGAATAGCTCTGTGTGTACATCTTTGCTCCTGTGTTGTGAGTGCTTCCCTCAGATAAATCCCTAGGAGTAAAACTAGAGAATCAAAGCGGATGAGCATTTAAGCATGTGATAGATGTTGTCAAATCGCCCTCCAGTAAGGTTTACTTACATTCCTACCAGACCAGTCTCAGAGCTGGCAGGAAAGTTCACTCTTTGGGTGAAAGAGAGGACTCATTTGTCTCACTCTCGCCAACCGTGGGCTGTGTCAATATTTTTCATATCTGCTAATAGTGTCATTTCTTATTGCACTATTTCAATGTTACTTTGCTTTGCTTTTCTTCAATTATTATTCTTCCACATGCCCATTGGGCATCAGCACTTTCTCTTTCATGACCTACCTCCTTTTTTCCTTTGGGCGTGTATCTTTGTCTTGTTGCTTTATCAGAGCTCTTTCTATATTAAACATCTCACCTGCTTTTCTTACATTGCAATGTTTTTTCTCTTTGTCTTTTAACTTTGCTCATGGTATATTTCGCTGTACAGACATTTTTAGTGTTTATGCGGTCAAATCTGGCTTAGTGAATCATTTAGTTAAATTCTTAATCTTCAGTTTCAGTCGCTGAGCTTAGCCTGTGACACGGGCTTAGAGTGTTTAGTAAGTGTCCTCAGCAAACAAGCGTGCAGACCCAGTCCTCTCCAAGCGGGGCCTTTCCAGAGCTGCGGCATAAAATCCTATCCCTGCACCTCAGCTGTGCATGACCAGGGCAAGCCACTTCCTTCCCTCTGGCCTATCTTTTTCTACCTGCCAAATGATGGGGATCAAATAATGCCTGCCTTGCAAGGCTGCTGGGAGAGTCAGGTGGCACGAATGTGCTCCTCAAACTTAAAAGGAGGCATTTTGGGTGTAGAGTTGCCACCGCGTTGGGGCTGTGTTGGGCTGTGTCCCGTGACGGCGTGCATTCTGCCTCGTTCCCCACCATATCCCAGCCCTGGGCACAGAACAGGTCTATGACAAGTGTTGCCAGGCAGATTAAAGAACTCAGCCCACAGGAGCTGACTTTGCCCCAGGCCTGCGGCTGGAAGGTGCTAGAATTGCCTGGGTGCTGCTGAGCAGGAGGGTGGGCCCAGGCTGAGCGGGGTGGCTGACCCCAGCTCTCCTGGCAGGGCTACCCACCACTGACAAAGATCCTGGCAAGTTTCTTCGGGAAGCTGCTGGGACAGGAGATCGACCCTCTCAAGAATGTGCTGGTGACTGTGGGTGCGTACGGGGCCTTGTTCACAGCCTTCCAGGCCCTGGTGGATGAAGGAGACGAGGTGAGTGGGGTCAGGTGAGTGGGTGGGGGTCAGGGGTCGGGGCGATACCGACCCCAGCTAATCTGACCCTTGTACCAGGTCATCATCATCGAGCCCTTTTTTGACTGTTACGAGCCCATGACCTTGATGGCAGGGGGGCGCCCTGTGTTTGTGACCCTGAAGCCGGTGAGAATGCGGGCGGGGTGTGGCTAGGAGGAGGGGTCCAGGGAGTGTGCTGCACTGGGCCCTAGGGGCGGGGGCGCCGGGGAGGAAGGATGTGATGGAGGCCAGTTTCTCCAGGGTGGGGAGAGGGTGGACTGGACAGATGCCTGGGGGAGGAGGGCTACACCGCTAGCACTGAATGTCAGGTAAGTAAGCACTGCCCCGCCTCTTGCAGACCCCCACCCAGAATGGGGAACTGGCTTCCAGCAGCACCTGGCAGCTGGACCCCGAGGAGCTGGCCAGCAAGTTCACATCTCGCACCAAAGCTCTAGTCCTCAACACACCCAACAACCCCCTGGGCAAGGTACCTGGCAGACCTCCTTCTGGGGACCCTTCCAGACTGGGGTCACGTCCCCACCCGGCCACTGATTTGCTGCCTTGGGGACTCAGTTTCTTCCTCGGTGAAGGGGGAGGGCTCCCTGCAGCGAGCTGCGAGGATGAGGCTCCCAGAGGCCCCCAGGGCAGGGGCAACAGTCACGGGGAAGGAGCGAGGGCCGGTGGTGGGGTGGCCGGGCGCCTCCCTGCTCACTTCTCCATGACCGAGACCCTGAGACAGCGACTTCACATCTCGGAGTGTTTTCTCATCTGTATAATGGGAACATGACAAACCCACAGGAAGGACAGTCTAGCCTTCCCCCGTGTGTCTGCCACACTGTTGCACAGCTGCAACCCTCACAACACTTCTGACACCAGGAAGATGGGCTTTCTCCCCACGCCAGGCAATTCTGTGATGGCAACTGGGGGTCCAGCAATTTCACTTCCAACCCTGTCTTCCTGGAGGTAGCATCCAATCCCACAGATTAAGGGCTCAGTCCCACAGGACTGTCCCCACCCCATTTCAGATGCCAGTCGCAAGTCCAGGTTGTCACCTGTACTCCTGGCCAATCAGCTAGGAATCTCAGCTTCCCGCGACAACCTCCTCGGGTTCCATGAATTGGCTAGAGCAACTCCCAGAACTTGGAAACTGTCGCGTTTACCACTGTATTAAAGAGTATGAGAGAGGGGGCGGGCGGAGGTCCACTGGGCCAGGTCTGGGCGTGCCTCAAGCACAGGGGCTTCCGTCCATGGAGCTAGGGTGCGTCACCCTGGTGGGTATGCTCACCAACCTGAACCCCATAGTATGGGATTTTATGGAGGCTTCCCCACATAGCAAGATCAGTCGTCAACTCCATTTCCAGCCCCCTCCCCTTCCTAGAAAAGTGGGGTTGAAAACCCCAGGCTTCTAATTCCAGCTTGGTCTTCCTGGTGACCAGCCCGTTCAGGAGCCCACCAAGTTGCCTTGTTAGAACAAAAGGTGTCCCTGGCGTTCTTATCACTTAGGGATTTATAAGGGTTTCAGGAGCTCTGCGCTGGGAACCATGGGCCAAGACCAAAGTATATATATTTCTTATTACCTCACAACCGACCGCAGTGGGTCAGCGAGGTGGGGATTCGGGAGGGCGGGGCAGAAAAGCCCTTGGTGCTGGGTTTATCTGAGCAGGCCTATCTGTTTGGGGGCGGTCCCTGCAGGTGTTCTCCAAGGCAGAACTGGAGCTGGTGGCCCGCCTGTGCCAGCAGCATGACGTGCTATGCATCAGCGACGAGGTCTACCAGTGGGTGGTCTTCGATGGGTACCAGCACATCAGCATCGGTGAGCCCAGCTGGGCGGGGTGCCCCCATTCCCCTGGACACTTAGGCCAGGGCCTTGGGCCCAATCTGGGAGTCAGCACAGGCTGAAGGGTGTGGAGCCACACAGTCCATGGGACCTGGAGCAGCGACTCACTCTCTCTGAAAAGAAGGGAGCACAGTGGCACCTACCCCCAGGGTTGTCAGGAGGATGATGTGGAACAGATCCTGTAAATAGCTTAGCACAAATCAGAGCTCCGAGTGGGCAGAGCTGGAGCACCCACGGGGGTTTGGCCACCACCCCTCCCCCGCCCCTCATCGCTGTTTCAGCAGCTCCTCTCTTTGGCCTTGGGCAGCCAGCCTCCCTGGCATGTGGGAACGCACCCTGACCATTGGCAGCGCTGGCAAGACCTTTAGCGTGACTGGCTGGAAGGTGAGTCCACAGGGTCCGGGGGATCACCTTTCCTTGGCAGGAAAGGTGGCCTGGGAATGAAGGCAGCCTTTGGCCAGGCCCTGAAAGGCCTCACCCCATACCTGTGTTTCTGGTCTAGGTGGGCTGGGTCCTAGGCCCGGAGAGTCTCCTGAAGCACCTGAACACCGTGCACCAGAATTCCATCTTTCATTGTCCCACGCAGGCCCAGGTGCAGAGGGGCAGGGGGCCATGCCAGGGGGGCGGGGGAGGGCCCGGACCCAGGCTGGCTCCAGAGTCAGGTTAGCCTGACCTGCCTGTCCATCCCGTCCCCTGCAGGCCGCAGTAGCCCAAAGCCTGGAGCGGGAGCAGCTGCACTTCGGCCAGCCCAGCAGCTACTTCGTGCATTTCCCACAAGCCATGCAGCGCACCCGTGACCACATGATGCGCAGTGTGCAGTCTGTGGGCCTGAGGCCCGTGATCCCCCAGGGCAGCTACTTCTTCGTCACAGACATCTCAGACTTCAGTGCGTGGGCCTGGCCAGGCTGGGCTGGTTAAGCGGGGCAGGGGTGGCAGTCTGCTCAGGGCTCAGCATGGTGTCTGTCCTCCAGAGCGCAAGATGCCTGACTTGCCTGGTGCTGTGGACGAGCCCTATGACAGACGCTTCGTCAAGTGGATGATCAAGAACAAGGTGGGCTGGGCCCCGGCCTGGCCCCTGCATGTGGTTTTGTAGGTTGTACACTGCTCAAGGGCACTGGTGGGCCGAAATACAGCCTGGCCTCTGCCACACGCCCTGGTACGGGGTGGCGTCCATGTCGAGGAACGGGGAGCCTGTTTAAGTTGCACAGAGGCGCCATGTGGGCTGGCAGGAAAGGACTCCTGGCCTCTCAAGGCCTCAATCTTGCCATCTGTACAGGGAGGAGTTGGCCCATTAATTCTGAGGTCATACAGCTCAGAGCTATGATTCTAAGGCTTATTTCTTCTCTGGCTCCGCCCTGACCCCTCTCTTGGCCTCCATGCCTTGTCTATACACAGGAGGGACTTGGAATGACATTCTGGGATTCCTTCCCTCTGACCTTGACATAGCACTGGGAGGTGCCGCATCAAAGCTAACTCTCCTCCTCCCACGCCATAGTGGAACCTCTGTGCCCCCCGGGAGCCAAGGCCTGCTGGGCTATGAGGCCCTGTTGAAACATGGGCTTCTTCCTCAGGGCTTGGTGGCCATCCCGGTCTCCATCTTCTACAGCGTGCCACACCAGAAGCACTTTGACCACTACATCCGCTTCTGTTTTGTGAAGGTAAAAGACGGGGCCGGGGGAGGGAAAGCCTCCCAGGGCTTCCCCAGGCCTGCCGTGGGTATGGGAGGAGAGCGGACCGTCTGTGTCGGTGCAGGGTGAGTCCACGCTCCAGGCCATGGACGAGAAGCTGCGCAAGTGGAAGGATGAGCTCGGGGCCTAAGGGCGCCCCCTCGGCCCCGCCTCCCCGGTGGGTCCTGCAGGCTCTGTAGGGCTCTTCGGCCAGGGTTTAGTTATTCCCAGGCTAGGGGTAGATGGTACTGGCGAACCCCTCCTCTGCAACATAGAATGTCCCAGGGCAGAGCCCCGTCTTGGTCTTGGGGGAGTCAGGAGCACCTCCCCATGGTGCCTGCCATCCTGTTGCGGAGGTAATGGAGGTCTGGCCTGGGCCCCTCCCTCGGTCAGGCTGCAGAGTTTTGGGTCCCTTCTGGCCTCACCAGACTTGGCTGGGACTCAGTGGGAAGAGTCCAACAATGTCCTGGCCTGGGTTCCCAGCTCTGACCCCAGCCCTGCACTGGCCCCGACCAAGGCTGCGGCAACCCTCCCTTTCCTTACCTAAACTTGACATTGGGATGTAACCCGTGCTTTCTGCCCATAATAAAATTTTAAGTTATTCAAACTTCCGTTGGCCTCGCTGTGCTTCACACGGGTGCTGGTTGCTAATGGGGACTTAGTCACATTGGAAGGCCCCTCGGTGAACCTCAGATCCGAGCCCCTCTTCATACGCCTGTGTTTTGGGGAGTAGAGTAAAACTGAGGCCCAGGGAAAGGCGGGGACTTGGGGCTCATTTAGAGTCACACACTTAGGTACTGGTAAAACCTCAAAGCCGGGGCTCAGATGGTACGTGTTTCTGGTGTGTGGATGTAGGAGATGGGCCGCATTTGAGTGTCTGACGGGGAAGACACAGACAGTCCTGTCCCACAGGGGTCCGAGGCCGCACCGGGGGGCCGGGGCTCACCCAGTCAGACAGAAGGAGCGGGAAGCAGCCAGTCCTCAAGGCACGCCCTCAATCATCTCATCCAACAGCCCACTGAGACAGAAATCACTTCTCCATTTTACCAGTGAGGAGACCGCTTCGGAGGCGAGGTGGCGTGCCCAAGGCCATCCAGTGGGCTGAGGTGGAGTGCGCTTTGATCTAGGGGCCGGGCATCCTAGTGGCAGGCAATGACAGCTCCTGATTGGTTTGGAAGGTGGCGCTGGAGACTTGCCTTGAAGTTGTATTTGTATAGCAAGCCTATGGGTTTTGTTAGGTATTTATTAGGGGAGCGGATTGGCACACAGAGTATATAATAAAATGCATTAGGTCTTTTTGTTACTGGTTCCTGGCACAGAGCTCCTAAAATCCTTGGAGTTTACTGGGTGATAGGAGTGTCTTTTGCTGTCGTTTTACGATTTTATTTATTTATTTTTAGAGAAGGGAAGAGAGAGAGAGAAACATCGATATGTGAGAGAAACAGGATCAGTTGCCTCTCGCACACCCCAAACCGGGGACCTGGCCTGCATCCCAGGCATGTGCCCTGTCGGGGAATTGAACTGGCAACCCTTTAGTTGCAGGCCAACATTCAATCCACTGAGCCACACTAGCCAGGGCAGGAATGTCTTTTGTTATTCATAACAAGTCCATTTGAACATGAGATGAGGGGTCAGAACTTTTAGCCCCAACCCCCGGCCCCCAAGGAGGGGAGAGGGACTGGACACTGAGTTCAGTCATCACATGGCCAATGGTTAAATTGATCATGCATCTGTAATAAAATCCCACGTAATCTGTGAGTCTTAAGGAGCTTCTGGGTTGGTGCGCACATCAACGTGCTGGGAGGGTGGCACATCCGTTGAGGGCGCGAAAGCCCGGCACACTCCTCTTGCCCCCAGGACCTCACTCTCTGTGTTACTAGTCCAAACTCCAGGTGCCCAGCGCCCTGAAATGCAAAAACTCAGAACATCAGAGTCCAGAGCAAGGAAAGGCTTATTGATCAAGAAGGTACAATTCAAGAAGCTGGGGGCCCTACTAGTTCCCCAAATCCATCTTTAAAAAGTACAAAATGCAGTCTTCTTTTATGTCAGGGGAAGGAAAAATAGGAGGGGTTGTTTTTATTAAAAAACAAAACAAAACACTAGCCCACACAGAATTCCTCTAATGATTAGCATGTCTAGGGAAGGAGCTATTAGCCTGGGGGCCGTGGGAACCACAGAGGCCAGAACAAGTTGGAGTCAGAGAGACCCAGCATTGACTCTCTTACAGTCCCTCCCCCTTTTTGTTCTTTTCTCAGTCTCTACAGAAACAGGGCACCTGGGTCCAGGTTCAATCAAGAGGGAGGATTAGCCCTGGCCAGGTAGTGCAGTTGGTTAGAGCATTGTTCCAATATGCTACGGTTGTGCGTTTGATCCCTGGTCAAGGCACATGCAAGAATTAACCAATGAACGTATAAATAAGTAGAACAACAAATCGACGTTTCTCTCTCTCTAAAAATCAATAAATGAAGCTTTAAAGAGGGAAGATTCGCTTGTAAGATGGAGATTTGTCTGTTCATTGTGCCCCTCTTACAATCTCACACACCCACTTCTTCCGCAATGGTTCCTGAGCCTCAGAGAGGGCCTCCTGGGGGTTCAGTTTACAAGCAGAGACTACAGCAACTGTAGAAGCAGCAGCAGGTCAGGGTACCCGCTCCCTAATGTGAGAGAAAGGATAAAGAGTAACTTTTGTTATTATGTCCCCCAGGACCCAAACCATGATGAGTTGGCCACAGTACATACATTTCCTTGTTCCCCTAACAAGTAATCTAAAACAATCCTATTGTCTAAGAACCTGCGTGCCAAGGGCTCTAAGGTGGTCTGTTGGAGTCTTAGAACTTGAGCAGTAGAATGAACCAAATGACTGACTATACAGGTTAAATTCCCTAACATCAGCATTTGACTAGATTTATGAAAACAAAGGTCAATGATCAGAGCAATTCACCAACTAGTCTCTGAGGCTGCCAGTTGAGAAGAGCTCCAGACGCAAGGCTCAAAGCTTAACTTCTGCTGCAGTGAAAGGCAGTGACCATCCAGCAAATTGTCCCGGTCTGAAGTTCACATGTCTCTGATGATGTCCTCAGGCACTCAGGCCAACTCTCTGTGTGGCTTGCACAGCATCAGTTACCAAGACCACCTAAGCAGGAGCTATTGTGACAATTTCTCCAAAGTTGACAGTTGACATCATGTTGTCTAGCTGCAGTCCCCAAGTGCAAAGCTGGGGGGGGGGGGGCGCGGGCCTGGCGGGGCGGGGAAGCAGTCTTTGTTCTCAATAATTCCAAGGCAAAGGATGGGAGAGAGATGAAACACCAGTTCAGTGGGTTGCAACCAGACACTTTCACTGGAAAAAATTCAGGATCCACTTCAGTCCACAGTGAAACATGGAACTTTAAGAAACAACCCAACATCTGCCCATAACTCAAGTCTGTGACTCTACAGAGGTTCCAAATCTTAGACTGAGTAACCTCAGCCAACCTGAGATGGCAGGCCTTCCCAAGACCTTCTCGTAGGGGCGAATGGTGAGATAACACGACCCATGTAATGTTAACACACGAATTGACATAGACATGAATCTCCCCTCTCCTAGAGAGATCAGTATCTGCTCCAGATCAGTATCTACTTTCCTTACCATGGTGTCCCTGGTGGTTAGCATAGGGAATTCTTGCCTCAAAATAAACCCTGCCTCAAAATACTGATTGAATGAATATTGACTCAAATTTACTAATTTTAGAAAGAAAACATATCTCATTCATTGCTGACAGGAATGCAGAATGGTACAGCCATTTTGGAAGACAGTTTGGAAGTTTCTTACCAAGTTAAACATGGTCTTCCTGTAGGATCCAGCACTCAGTCTTCTAGCTATTTGCCAAAACGAGCTGAAAGTTCATGTCACACAGAAACCTGCACATGAATGTTTATAGCAGCAGCATTCATAATTACCCAGAACTGGAAGCAACAAAATATCCTTCAAAAGGTGAATGGATAAGCAAACTGTGACATATCCATACAACAGAAGAGCATTTAGCAATAAAAAGAAATTTGCTCACAAGTCTTGAGACATGGAGGACACTTAATGCTTAATGGAGGAAGGAAGTCTGGAAAGGCTGCATGCCGTCTGATTCCAACTATATGACGGTATGGAAAAGGCAGAACTTCGGGGCCAGTGAGAAAGATCGGTGTTTGCCAGGGGCTTGGAAGGGGGTTGGTGGAGCACAGAGGATTTTTAGGACAGTGAAACTATTCTTTATAGTACTGAAAGGGCAGGTATATGACATTATGCACTTGTCAAAACCTATACAATGCACAACTCGAAGTGACCCCTAATGTAAACAATGAACTTAATAATGCATCAATATTCATTTAACTATAACAATATGTACACATTAAGGCAAGGTGTTAACTGGGAGATACAGGTAAATGGGAACTCTCTGCTCAACTTTCGGTAAGCCTAAATTTCTTTTTAAAAGTCTATTAATTAAAAGAGAGTAAATGAACGAATTTATAAAAGAATTGGATCAAATGATCTCCAAGGTCATTTCCAGTTTTGACTCACTATCCAGTTCTGGGCCTGGGCCGTAGGGTCCCTATGTATAAAACCGAGCTGAGGTTTGAGTGTCGCGCTCGACTGGAGCCGCAGGGCGGCTAGAGTGGTCCACGGAGCCGGAACAGCACACGAACTGCTGCCCACCTGGACAGCGGCCGGCAACGAGAACCTCCAACCTTTGTGCACTTTCTCGCAACCTGCGGAACGCGACCAGGCCCCCACTCTCCCGACGCCCCTCGGAACCTAGGCCACGCCCCCTCGCGCCTTGCTTCTCCGATTCGACGACTTGGGGAAGGTGTGGCCGGAAGGAGTGAGTCTGATTGGCGGGGCGGGGCTGAAAGCGTCTGGCGAACATGGCGGAGCGCGGGAGGAAGCGACCCTGCGGCCCGGTAGGTACCTGGAGATGGGACTCCTAGTGCAGGACACAGGGTGGAGGCGTGAGGACGAACCGCGTGGGGCCTGTGGCTGGGTCCGGCTGTGCCTCCTGCTCCTTGCTTGTCGATCGTCTTGAGGCCGGAAGCCCCAGGGTGTCGCATGCGTGTGGCCGCACGCGCGCCTGCCGGGATGAGAACTAGAGGTGGGAGCCGGGGTCTGAGCCAGAGGAGGGACAGCGTCAGGTAACCCATTACCCGAGCCCCTTGCCCAGATTCAGGAGGTGGAACCCTGCTCTCAATCCCGAGCATTTTTGTGGCTTATCTCTTTTAACTACTACCTGAGCTTCAGTTTCCTCTTCTCTCCAGTGGGAACTCATTCAGCTATTTACTGAGTGCTTACTACGTGCTAGGTCTGATCCCAGGCCCTGGGGTACAGCAGGTCCCTGCCCTCCTGACGCTCTCTTGGGACAGCATTGTGCGTGGATTCCCTGCAGCAAGTAGGACCCCCCTTGCAAGTGTGACCATTCAGCCTCACTCCTATACCTCTTCCTATTCCTCTAGGGTGAACACGGCCAAAGGGTCGAATGGCGAAAATGGAAGCAACAGAGTAAGTAAGGGGCTGGGGGTTACTGGGAGTGTCTGTGCTCACCCTTCCCCAGGCCGCCCCAGGCCACTCCAGCAGTGCACGATTAAGCTTTAGGGAAAGCCACCAGGTTTGTCCACTGTGGGCCCCACAAGATGGGAGGAAGGGGTCAGAAGCCCTGGGAGGCTCCCAGGCCGGCCTGGCCTGAGTGGGAGCCCTGACCCTGCCGAGAGGGCGTCATCTCCTGCACTGCTCCGAGGCCCTCCCCCCAGAGTCTCTCTCATCTCCACCAACTGGGATGTCTTCTTATGCAGAGAAGGAGGAGAAAAAGAAGTGGAAGGATCTTAAGCTGATGAAAAAACTGGAGCGGCAGCAGGCGCAGGAGGAACAGACGAAGCGCCAGCAGGAGGAGGAGGCGGCTGCACAGAGGGAGGACCAGGGTGAGCTGGTGCGGTCCTGGGCAGGGCGGAGAGCGTCATGTCTAGAAGGGGCCTCAGAGACCAGTGGGTCTAGACATCTTGTCTGGATGGAAAAACTGCAGCCCAGAGAGTGGGAGAGGCCCAGAAAACTGAGTCCTAACCTCCTGCTTAGGTAGATGTCAAGTCTGTGGGTGGTAAGCATCAGATATCATAACTTTATGCCTCCAGAACCTCATCATCATAGGGATAATTAATTTTTTTTTATTGAGCACTGTCTGTGTGTTTTAATGCCATTCTTCATTGAATTACTTTGAGTGCTCTTTTTTTCTCAGTAAATTATCTGTGTTCAAAACAAAACCACCCAAACAATACAGAAAACTATAAAGAAGAAAGGAAAAAGCCAGCAAACACTGCAGCGAAAGTTTCTCCAGATGTTATGTTACACCCACTTAAATACATGTAGAGAGATGTAAAGATACAGTTTTCAAAAAATGAGGCCACTTTATCCATGTACATGTGGACTTGGTTTTTCTCACCTTGCATGTCCTGCATGTTCTTCCACATTAGTGCATGTGGAGCTACCCTAACAAATTGTATCTTTTCCTTCAGCCAGACCTGAAGCTCTGGAGGGTCAGGGGCCCTTATCACATACCCTGAACGCCCAGTGGTTAACAGTAATGGTGGTGACACCATTTCAGACACCAGGGAAGCCCTTTATAGACGTTATTGCATGTGGCTCCCTTTGGACAACTCCGAAGGGGAGTGTGGTGGCCACTCTGGAGCCAGACGACCTGAACCCATATCTCAGCTGTCCTGCTTTTTGTGTGGCCTTGCGCCCTGTATATGACCTCGGGGCTGCAGGTTCCCCCCTCTTGATGGTGATCATGGTTTCCTAGGGTTATGAGGTAAATGTGCACATGTGAGAGGCACTAATAATAGATAATAACTTGCATTATTATCCCCATTTGACAGCTGGGGAACTGAGACAGTAAAGGGTAGAGGCGGGATGTAAACTTAGACCAGTGCCGCTGGCCACTCCCCGGCCTTGCCCAGTGGCCTGCCCTGTCCGTGGGAGCCTTCCCAAACACTGGGCCGTTTTGCATCTTGGGGAGATTGAGGCCTAGAGAACGGAGTTGGATCTATTTTGCTAATCTCAAAATTCCTCCCAGTAGAAAGATTCTCTAACTTTGGGCCTTGGGGACAGAGGAAGGAGGGGAGAGCATGGGCCTGGCCACTCAGACTGACCGGGAACACCCCTCCCTTGCCCAGGGCGGCACTACACTCTGAGCGTGGCCTTGCCTGGCTCCATTCTCGACAATGCCCAGTCGCCGGAGCTTCGCACCTACCTGGCTGGCCAGATTGCCAGAGCCTGCACCATCTTCTGCGTGGATGAGATTGTGGTATTCGATGAAGATGGCCAGGACGCCAAGTAAGAGGGCCATCCTCAGGGTCCTGGGGCCCAGGGAGAAGGGAGGGGCTACCGGAAATGACGTGGGCTGAGAGCCCTGCCCGAATTGCGCCCTTTGTAGCCCTGCTGGGTAGAGCTGCAAAGCCGGGCTCTGCAGAGGTCAGACTAGGCAGATGGGCTCTCGGAGGGAACGCAGTAGGCTTCTGAGCCCTGTCTTTCTCTCTCCAGGACTGTGGAAGGGGAATTCAAGGGAATCGGCAAGAAGGGGCAGGCGTGCGTGCAGCTGGCCCGGATCCTGCAGTACCTGGAGTGTCCGCAGTAAGGGGGTGAAGGGCGGACTTCCTGAGCATGAGGGAGGGGGTCGAGGTGCAGGGCAGGCAGGAGGTGGCCTTTCTGGGAACTTCCTGAGATCTGTGTCCTTTACTAGGTACCTAAGAAAGGCATTCTTTCCCAAGCACCAGGATCTGCAGTTTGCAGGTAAGGCTTGGGGGGGTCTGACCCCCATTTCCCATGGGTCATCCCCAGGCCCTGAGAAATTGCTGTACAGTCGGGAAAACAGGCCCAGGCAGAGCAGGCCTGTGTCTGGTGGCTAGCAGCAGGTCTGTGGCAGAGCGGGAACCTGGGCCAGGGTTCCCTGCCATACCCTCATGTGCTTTTGCACCTCGCAGAATCCTCCTGTCCCCTCCTCACCCACAGGGCTCCTGAACCCTTTGGACAGCCCTCACCATGTGCGTCAGGATGAGGAATCTGAGTTCCGGGAGGGCGTTGTGGTGAACCGGCCCACCCGGCCGGGCCGCGGCTCCTTCGTGAACTGTGGCATGAAGAAGGTAGGAATTGGAGTGGGGGTCGGACCACTTCCCAGACACAGCCTGGCAATGGAGGGCGGTTGGGGCGTGAGAGTGGGGAGCCCAGGACCCAGGCATCTTTGCCCACCAGTTCCCCACTGATGGGACTCAGTAGATAAAGCCAGGAGTGAAGTTACTGTTTCTTATTCTTTAAAAAGGAGATCAACAGAAAATGGTCCTTGGGCTACGAGCAGAACAAAACCCTGCAAACACAAGGGCAAAGTCACTCTGGAGCTGCTCCAGTGTGACGCAGAGCATTCGGTTGCCACCTGTTTACTTTCATCTCTTAGAGTAAGAGGTGGAGACATGTAAAGTTGCAGGGTCCCCTCCCCTCAAATAACCAGAAAGAACTGGTTAAAGGCAGACCAGGATGACCCAGAAACGGATGAACAGAGAAAAGCGTAAGCGCCCCTCGACGGAGATGAAGCGCCCTGTCCTGAATTCAGAATTGGCACAAAACAGACATCCCGGTTATTCATCACAGCTCCCACGTAGTCAGCATTCACTTCGTGCCAGGCCTTGGGCAGCATAACAATAGCTGTTGTTTGTGGAATGTTTTCTGTTTGACAGATGAGGAAACTGAGGCTCAGAGAGGTTAAGTGGGCCACTCCAACTCCTTTGGCTAGCAAGTGGCACAGCTACCAAAATGTAGAAAACTGGGTTTTGTCTACTCACGACACAGTTTCTTCCAGCCCTGCCAGGCCCAGAGCGTTCATTTTTTACCAGAGTATTGTGATAGTCATTTTGCAGGAATGTGGTCTCGAAAGCAGGTCTGGCCCAAGGGCAGGGGCAAAGGTTGACCTGCCTGGATCCCTTGTGCTCCTTGCCAGCCACAGATTCCGCACAACTGGGAGCGTGGTGACCCCTGCTGGCTCTATGGGGAACTACACCGTTTCTGGCTTCTCCCTAGGAGGTGCAGATTGACAAGAACTTGGAACCTGGGCTTCGAGTGACTGTGCGACTAAACCAGAAGCAGCTCCCAGGTACCTGAGGGCTCAGAGCCCCCTCTTTCCACCTCCTTGTCCCCTCACCCCATCTTCACAGCCTTTCTGCTCCCCTCCAGAAAGCAAGACCCACCGTGGAAAAGTCGTGTCGTCCCAGGACCCTCGCACCAAAGCTGGTCTCTACTGGGGCTACACGGTCCGACTGGCCTCCTGCCTTAGTAAGGACAGCGCTTCCTTCTGTGAATCTCCTCTGTGTGGCAGGCCACAGAGAGCCTTGCTTGGCCCAAAACTCAGACCAGAGTCCTTGTCCTGCCAACTTGTTCTGTGTCCTTGGGCCGCTGCCTTTCCTGCTCCGGCCCTCAGTCTCCCCGAGTGCTCGGCCTGCATGCCGTTAAAGGCTTCTGAGGGGAAGTATTGTATCACGGTCAATTGATAACATCTGCTGTGGGGTTGGGACTGGGGGCGAAAGGGCCAGATAGATCAGAGGTGCGGTACGTGTTCTCAAAGCTCTTTGCGACCACCCGCCCTCTGCTTGGCGTCCGCAGCCTAGCCCAGGTGTGAGCTCTCCCTGATCAGTGCCTGGCTTCCCAGGAACAGTGGCGGGCCTGGTGGCTCGCTCCCTGAGCCCCCTTCTCCGCACCCCGCCCCGCCCCGCCCCGCCCACATGCACATGGCCAAGCCGCTGTGGCTGGGGGAAAGCAGGGCGCCACTGAGCTGGCCTCGCCCCCAGGTGCTGTGTTTGCCGAGGCCCCCTTCCAAGACGGGTATGACCTGACTATCGGGACATCAGAGCGAGGCTCAGATGTGGCCTCGGCCCAGCTACCCAGCTTCAGGTGGGTACAACCTGGGCAGGAGCTGGGGGAGAAGGAACAGAACAGAGGGCCAGTCTGGTGAGGGCAGAACTGTGGACGGGCCCCCACCGTGTGCGGAAGGCTGCTCTCTGTGCGGCCTTGATGAGCAGCCAGCCGACTCCCCCTCCTGTGGGTGCCAGGCACGCTCTCGTGGTGTTCGGGGGCCTCCAGGGACTGGAGGCCGGAGTGGATGCTGATCCCAACCTGGAGGTGGCTGAACCCAGCGTCCTCTTCGATCTCTATTTGAACACCTGCCCAGGCCAGGGCAGCCGCACTATCCGCACAGAGGTGAGCCTGCCTGTCGCCCCCCTGCCCTGCCTCCAGCCCTAGGCTGTTCTCAAGGTTCAGCCACCAGCTGGGGCTTTGGGGTCTGTCCAAGGGCGGGACGCGACTCTCTCTGTGGCCTACCCTGCCAAGGCTACCCTGAGCCAGCCTTCCCCGGAGATGGGCTTCTCCCCCATCGGCCTCCCACACCGCAGACTTGTGGCGGGGGCTGGACACAGGTGAGCTGGGAGTGTGAGGTTCCCGGGTGAGGGTGCCTCCCTAGCTCAGTACCTGGGAGACCCCTCCCACCCCTGCTCCGGGCCTCCATTTCCTTCGCTGTATGATCAGTGGTCCACTTTCTCGAGTGTGACCACGGTGGACAGGGCAGCGTCCCCGTGGGGGGCAGGATGCGCTGGCTGAGAGCCTGAGCCGGTGTGTCCACAGCACCTGCAGCCCCACTCCTAAGCTGAGCACAGGAGGCCGTGCCTGGAATCTGCTGGGGACCAGTCTCACAGGGTGTGTCTGAACAGGTGGCCTGCCTCAGTCCACTTGTCCCCGAGGGCCCTGCTGGGACCAGGCGCTGCAAGCCTACTAGCCACACCTTCCCAGCAGAAACCCTGCTCCCATCCTTGCAGTGCCTGTACCAACTGAGGGCTTCCTGTCAGGGACCCTGAGCCTAGGAGGCCGGTGTTACGGCCATCCCCCTTTCACAGAGGGGGGACTGAGGAGCAGGGAGGTGAGGCCCCTCCGTGGCAGGGCGCTCAGCCAGCCAGTGGCAGGTCGGCAGGATGACACTGGGCCTGTCCCCGGGCCCCGAGGAGGGCCGCGGGCCCAGCCCCACGCCGTGCTTCTCCCACAGGAAGCCATTCTCATCTCCCTGGCTGCCCTGCAGCCGGGCCTCACCCAGGCAGGCGCCCAGCACAGCTGAAGGCTCCATCAGGCCCAAGACAGTGAAGAAGCAAGTGGCGAAGCCAGAGGTTCCTGAGGGTCACCTGGGACAAACACAGCCAAGATTTTCTCCAAAAATAACTACCTTTAATGCGACCCAGCCCCACACCCTCACAGTCTGGCTGGGCGGCTGTCCTCACTTGCTGCCTGCAGTGATGGCCTTCAGGCTGCCGGCCCTCGCCAGGATGTTCGGCACGAAGAGCAGGCCCGAGGCCCGCTCAATGCTCTCGATTGGCACCAGGAAGCGCTCCAGCGGGGTGGCCTCATCCACGGGTGCATTGGGCATCACATAGGAGCGGAGTTCGATTTGCCCACCTGCTGCCTCCAGGATCAACACCTTGAAGAAGTGGGTGGGCACTGCCACGTGGTTCTTGCCGATTACCTGGTACTTCACGTAGGACTTCCCGTCAGCCTCTGTCCTGCAGGCAAACCCAGGCACACGTGGCCATTCAGGGCTCCCAGGGAGTCTGCTTAGGCCCAAGGCCTCCGCTTCCAGGAAGCATTCCTTGACCTGACCCCCAACTTGGGTCAGTCTGTAGAAACACCCCCTCTTGAAGCTTCTGTGCCCTCCTTGGCTGCCCAGCAGACTGGGAGCTTCCTGCAAGGTAGACTCACTCTTGTCCCGTTTTCCTCATGCCCAACACTGGGTCAGGCAGAGCAAGTGGTGGTGACAATAAATTCTGCTGAACTAACCCAGCCTTCTAAACATCCACATTCATCCATGCAGACACCTGACATGCCTGTCTCTCCCTGTAGAGGGGGCCCGGCATGCAGCTGGATTTCCAGCGCCAGCACAGGGCCAGGTGAATGGCAGGTGCCCTGTGGGGCGACCTCGGGGCTGACCCCTAGCAGAGCGGGCTCCACCAGTGCAGGCCTGAGGGGGCGCTCGCCCATTCAGGGTTACCAGTGCCTCGGCCAGCCTATGCCGAGCCCTTGCTCTGGTGACCATCATCCCACTTTGTCCCCTACACAACCACGAGGTAGGTAACATGCTGTCCCCATTTCATGGGGGATGTTGAGGTCATTTGCCCACGGCACCCAGAGAATGGGTGACAGGGCCTGGATGCCCTCCCAGCCTGTGGGTTCCAGAGCCAGGTGCATCGCCGCAACCTGTCATCGCTCATCCGGTCTTCAGTGGGCCAGAAAAGTCACCGAGCATGCCCAGAGCATGTCCATCCCTTGTACCTGGGAGGCAGGGCTGCAGAGGGACAAGAGTGAAGTCTTGGGGGCAGGAGCAGGGTGCAGGAGGGCTGCTCCAGAGGAGACCAGGGGCAAGAGCCTGGTAAACGGTTTCTGTTTGGCCAAGACGGGTGGGTGTGGTGTGAGGTGATGCAGGGGAGGGGAGCACGAGCAGATGTGGGGCCTGGGGCCCACAGACAAAGGAGACACGGTCTCGGTGGGTGTCCTGAAGGTCTCTGGCTGCAGAAGTGAATTCAGGAGTCAGGCACAGAGTGGACAGGGGTGTTAAGAAGAAGCCAGAAGAGTCCTGGCTGATGTGGCACAGCGGACTGAGTGACAGCCTGCAAAGCAAAGGGTCCCTGGTTTGATTCCCAGTCAGGAGCCATGCCTGGGTTGTGGGCCAGGTCCCCGGTAGGGGGCACACGAGTGTCAACCACACATTAATGTTTCTCTTCCTCTCTCTCTAAAAATAAAACTTTTTTTAAAAAGCCAAAGATTGACCTGGGACAAACCTGGACAGGGTGAATAGGAAACCCTGGTGTCCCTAGGGCCCCCAGTTCTAACCTTACCTGGGCAGGAAGAGCGGCCCTGTGCAGACATAGACATTTTGGTAACTGCGGGTCAAGCTCCGGCTGTACTTCTCCAGGTTGTTCCAGGCATTCTGGTTGAGGTGGGGCACCTGGCAGGAGAGCAGGGGCTCAGAGATGCTGGCTGGGACCTTTCCCCCTGTCAGAGGGGCTACCCTGGGCTCCCAGCCTGGAGACTCCAGTTGGGTGATGGGACAAGCATGCAATGGAAACTGGTTCAAGGAATGAAAGTGATTCCTTCAGGGCATCTGGCTGTAAGGGTGGAGCCTAGACAGAGCTCAAGAGGGTGCCAGCCACCAACCATGCCCCCACCACTTCCTCCATATAGAATAGAAGGACAAGCATCCCAGATCTGAAAGCCCTTCCTCAGCTCCAAAAAACCACACTGAGGAAAGCGAGCTCTCCCAGTCTGTCCTTTTCCCCCCTTAACCACATGCAGAGCCCAGCTGGGACCATCATGAATCTGGTCCCAGTTCCATCTCTAGAGTGCTCCAGTCCTCAGCACAATATCCGGTCAAATGGATAGGAGACTGTATCGCTGGGAGAGCAGAAGTCAGGTCAGAGGCTCAGACCCCACGGGGTTCACGCTGGGCCCCACATCAGTCTTCATCCACTGGGGGCCAGGCTCTTGTGGGACCAGGGCTAAGGTAGGGCGGCTTGCTACTAACAGCTGACTGCCAGCGGATATCTTTCCATTTACTCCTGGAAAGTAGGCGGGGTAGGACTGGCTGAAAGCTCAGGGTCCACTAGACAAACTGCCGGGGTCTGTTCCCACACGTGTGACACTGGGCCGATCGATCACTTTGTCTCTTGAGCCTCAGTTCCCTCATTATACCTTATATTTATTGAATGGTTGTCATGGGCCAGAAGGGTTCTCAGTACTTTTATGTGCGCCGAGTCTACTGTAAAAAGTACGTAAGTAACAGTAATATCCCTTTTACAGAAGAGGAAACGAAGCCCAGGGGCTCTCGGGGTCAAACTGCAGAGGGTGCTCGGCGCCCAGTGCTCCGTTCCTCCAGCTTACAGCGCGCGGCGTGATTAGTAAGCACCTGACCAGCTCGCGCACTCGGCAGCTTCTCCGAACTTCCCCGGTTGCAGAGGGGCAAACCGAGGGTCCGCGGGATGAGGGGCTGGCCCCGCTTTCCGCCCCCGGGCCAGGGGCGCTACCTGGGGCGCGACGTTGCTCAGGTAGAAGGTGTCGTCCATGGCTTTCTGGCTCCAGCGGTGGTTGGCAGCGGCGGCCAAGTGGCCGCGGTCGAAGCCGCTGCCGCGGTAGTCGGCGTTGGTGGCGCGGTGGTACACATGCACCGACTCATCCTCGCGGAAGTCGCACGAGCGGCGGTCGCCATCGCCGCGAAGCCGCTCAGGCCGCAGCTGTTCCACCACCCAGAGCGCGTTGCGAGTGCGCGGATCGTAGCACAACACGTATGACTCGCGGCTCTTGAGCTGCGCCAGCCCGGGGAGCCCGTACTTAGCCAGCTCGCCGGGGCTGCCGCCCGCTGGGGTCCCAGGTACGGCAGGCACGACGGGCAGCTGGGCCGCCGCCGCCACAGGCAGCACGGGCAGCCGGCCCAGCAACCCAGGCGCCGGCCGCGCATCTGCTCGCCGTCGTCGCCAGCCCTCGGCAGCTGCGCCCAGCCCCGCGCCCAGCACCAGGGTCAGGCCAGCCCGCAGTGCACGCATGGCTCGGGAGGGCGACAGCAGCATAAACGTAGGGAGGCCCGTGGCGCCGGGAGAACGCCGCGACCTCCGGCGTCCGATCTGCGAGGCTCTTAAAGGGGCCGGGCAGGTCTGCTGGGCCCACCGCGGAGATGGGGCCGGCTGGGACGGCAGGCGGGTGCAACGTCAGTCCCTGCCTCTCACAGAGACTCGGAACGGCTTAGGCCTCTAACGAAGGGGGGCCGAGACCAGCCGGGAAAAGACGCCTTTTCTGTATCCTTTAAGATACGGACCTGGGATGGAGGAAGCGGGGCATGGCACTGGCGTTTTGGTTTGTGATTGGCCGCCTCCAGGCCTAGCTCCACCCCCGCCCCGCCTCTCTACGGGTCTCCACGGAGACGCCCCCTTCTGCGCCTGCGTGGAGCACCTACTTTATGAGTGCTAAGTGTGTGTGCTGGAGATCTTCCATCGCTACTTAATTTAACCGTCAAAAGAGCCTAGAGAAGGAACTTCTCGTTGGCAGAACAAGGACAAGACACCGGAGTCTATCCTCCTAACCATTACACCATAAGCCAAAAGTTCTAGAAGCTTGGCCAAGATTTCCTTACCTAGGGTGAGAACGCGGATGCAGGTGGCCGATCCTAATTGCTGGTCGTAACAGAAACTAGTACCATTCAGCTTGGCAGCATGGATGAAAAGCCTTAGAAAGATCTATACCTTTAAACCCACTTAGAGGACTTAGCTGGGGAAATAAATCGGGAATGCAAGTACGTATTTCAAACAGAAACTTCCTCACAATATTCAGAAATAGACCGGTTTCCAGCATTGTCAGCATATTAGATAGAATTGTATATATCCTATGGGTCATACAGCAACTTGCCCCCCACCTAATGTGAGGGGAGTGACAATACACAAAACTGTTTTATCAAGACGACAGTGACGCAGTTCAGGGGATTCTGGGGAAGGACTGGACTGTCTGCAGTGGACCCTAAAATGGGGAGGGACTAGGGATCTTTAAGTTTCATAAATTGTCCAGCTATAACTTCATTTGAGTAGCAGACCTGACCTCAGGTACTTGAGGTAAAAAACCCTACTGTGCCCTAAAAAAATAAAAAATTTACCATGTTAATAAAAGTATTCATTTGCTTTGGGGGGGAAAAGTAAACAATCATGAAAAAAAATCACATCTGCAAAGAAAAGACTAACATATTACCAGTGATCTTCTCCAGGCTGTGGAGTATGAATGACTTGTTTCATTTACATGTCTTTGAATTTTCAGTTTTTCAATCTAAAAAATACCTTGCAGTAAAATCATGGTGCAACACCATTTCCCCCAGTCCACTTCCTCCTCCCCCCAGCTGCAAATTGCAGGCCTGCATGAGAAGAGTTAAATACACCCTTCCTACAGGAACGTCCTGGCTCTTTGCTTAGACAATTCTGAGAGCCTCCTGACTCCTTCCTTGCTCAAACTATTTTTTCCTACTCTGAGGTCTCAAAGGTTTCAGCCCATTACAGCACCAATGCCCACTGTAAAGAACACATTATTTTTTATTAAAGACAACTTGTCATCAAACAGCATTGACTCAAGAAACAAAACCAATTTAAAAAAAAAAAAAAGGGGGGCAGACTAACATTCTGACCCTCCGGAGTGTGCACAACCTGCTGAACTCACACAGCCCGACCTGTAAGTGTTCAAATTCCTGGGGCAGCGACTTCCCAGGCAGGAAGCTTGGGTGCTCTGGCTGGCTGGGAACCTCCTGAGTTTGGGGAGGGGGTATTGCCAAGGGGGAGGTCCTTTCCCCATCCAAACCTGGACATGGTCTCTGTGCTCTTGACCTTCATCCCAAAGTCAAAGGGCACCAGTCTCAGGCCTGCCACTGAGGCAAGTTAAGATGCAGTGATTCAAGTAGTATGGCCCCAGAAGGGAAGGCAAGGGGACAGGCAAGAGGGAATGCATCAGGTGTCCTGGGCAGTGTCTGCTGGGTCCCCGGCTGTGGCCCAAGCCTCAGGTTGTAAAAGGGTCAAAGTTGGAACTGAACCACCAGCCCCCAAGCTCTGGGAAGGTGGGCTGGGCTGGTGGGAAGCAGTGTGTCTCCACCCCACACTCTAAGGACGTCTTAGAGCCTCCCTTACACTCAGTTCCAGCACCAAGCTCAGAGCACTCCCAGCCAGGATGTGCTGGAGAACCTGGAAGGTTCCAGAGGCAGGGGGAGGGGATACAGAGCCTGACCTCAGAAAGTCAGGAAGCTCGTGCTTCGAAATTCTTTCAACCTTTCCGGCCCCCACCCCCATCCCCAAACCAAGCACTCGACAATCCACAATAAATAACCTGGAGTCTGAATAAATAGTAAAGTCTTCCAAAAAAACTTTTGCCTCCAGCAAAAAGGCAAGTGCAGAAAAGTTCCAGCAGCGTCCAAGGGAAGCCCAGTAAAGCAGCCCTCTGGGAGAAGCTGTCCCTGGCCCACAGCCTGGCCCCTGAGGGCAGCGAAGTCCCTCCTGCTGGAATCAGGAAGGCTTAGCGGGCAACAGGGCACCTGCCAGCCAGACTGAGGAGAGGATGACGACCTTTGCTACATTACCCAGCCTTCCAGACCCAAACTACCTGCTTCCTTACAAAAGGAGGGCGGGGATTGGTCAGAATAAGCCCACTCCACCCACTGCCCAGCACTGGGAGTAGCCACCAGCTCCTGCTCCAAGTGTGCCTGCCCTGAACCCTGGGCACAGCCCAAGCAGGTGACCAGAGAAGGGCCAGCACCTCCTTCAGCCTGTTTGGGAGCCACACAGCTCCCTGGGCCCTGACAGGATCCAGGGCCTCAGCTCAGCCCTGTCCGGCCTGCAGAGGCTCCCTTTGGTCCAATTTGCCCTTCATGGGACTCGCCCTCCCTGGGACAGGCCCTCGAAGCCATTGGGAACGACTACTCTTCTGAAGCACTTGGATTCCAACCCCTGCTACTGGATCCCCCTAATGCCCTGCTCCTTTGGGGATATCTTGGGAAGACTCAGCTCTCCTCCCTCCTCCACCCCAGGCAGAAAGGAGGGTAAGAGGCTCAAAGCTTCGTGAGCCATCACTCCTCAGCAGCTTTTGGTTTCCAAGATCTCTGTCAGGGGAAGCAGGTTCAGGGCCTTCCACTGAGGCGCTGTGGGCTCCCTCCCAGCCTGAGGGAGCTGGGAGCCTGGGGCTGGGCTGGGAACTGGGTACAAAGGCCCTGGTGGACCTCCAGGGGCTTTGCTGAGCCCAACTCCTCATTCTGTCTCCGGGTTTCACAGACGTGGAGGGGAGGAGTGAGGGGAAGAGGCTGGGGATAAGGCACCCCAAGAGAGAAGGGCGGGGGGGCGCAACGGGCAGGAGCACACACAGAGATGCACACGGCCTCCGGCCTGCGGCCTCCGTGAGACGTGGAGGGAGAAGTGAGGGAGACGGCGCAGACAGAGGAAGGAGAAGCAGAGACCTAGAGGGGATTCAGAGACACCCTCGCCTCCCTCATATCCACACAGACAGACACACAGAGGAGACAAGACGCCTGGAGGACGAAGAGACACATACACGCCAACCCACAACTTCATACACACACACACTCAGCGAGAGAGGGGCAGAGGGTGTGACCTGGGCCTGGCAGCTTCTTAGCTCCCTCACAGTGTCACTTTCCCCAGGGAGAAGCCTAAGCACCAACCCCCAGAAGAAGTGGTTTCTGGCTCGTTGGCCAAGCACCTCCCCCAGAGCAGGAGAGGGGGCAGCAGAGCAGAGGCTGGCGGGGCCCGCGAGCCCCAGGGCCCACGCCTGCCCCAGCTCCAGGACACAACTTCGGGAGCGCCAGCCTTGCTCGGCAGCCTGGGAGAGGGTCCCGGTGTTAAAGAGCGGAGACAGAGCCAGGGCTTGGTGGTCAGGAAGGAGCATGGCACAGTGAGCCCCCACTGGGAGTGGCCTGGGGGACGGAGCCAGGTGAGGAGGCCTGGAGCCAGCCAGTCCTGGAGCTTCCCCTCGGGCTGGGGTCCCACACGCGTCTTCGTGTCCCAGCAGCCAGGGCACAGGGACCTTCTCTCCCAAACCTGGGCCTCTCACTGTCAGGCTACTTCGAGTCTTGGAGTTCCTTGGCTTTCTGTAGGATCTGGCAGACATCTGTGATGGGGTAATCCTGGGCACAGGAAAGGCCAACAAGGCGCGTCTGAAGTCAGCTCACCCTTCGCCACCTCTGCCACACCTGTGTCCTTCCCACTGGGGCCTGTCACCGTGCTGGACCACAGGTTATCAGACACCCCCTCTGCCCTAACCCCACAGGTAGCACAAACGTAAGCAACCCGACCGGCACCCCCCGCAGGGTCTCAGAGCCCTTCCTCAGGACCAGGCCCGCCTACCTCATGCCCCGCTGCCAGCCCTGAGCCAAGGGCCATGCGTTAGCTGCCCGGGGCACCCCAGAACCTCCTCATTGGATGTTACGGCGATTATGCCAATTTTATAGATTTACTCAATGAAGTCATTGAAAACCAACCTCAGACCAGGTGTTGGTGAAAAAACTGAGGCCTGGAGAGCCTGTTACTGGGCTCAGGTCATGCGACGAGCGGAGCCAAACAAGGACGTAAACCTAACGCCGCCTGACCCTTGGGCCCATGTTCTTTACCACTGAGCCCTACGCTGTCCTGCTCTGGGTCTGAGCGCGACTGCCAATGAGCGCTCCCACCTACTGGGCGCCACTGCGTCCCAGGAGCCATTAATTTGGGTAGAACACTTAGTTCAGAGAGGCCCAGTCATTCACTCAAGGCCACACCACACTCCAGGTCAGTGGCAAAGCCGGGATTCCAACCCATCCAAAGCCCGATCTGCCTCGGGGGTCTAGGCTCACCCCCGCGGCCCCCAGGCTGTCACAGCAGCGGGCGTGGGGCGGCTGCCCGGAAAGGAACTGCCTCATGGCTAAGACTGAGCTTGCCGCCCGAACCCCATTACCTGAAGGAGCCGCATGTTTACAGTGAAGTCCCCTTCCAGCAACTGCTCCCGGATCAATCTGAGGACAACAAGCAGCAAGGTGCTGGGACGCTGGGCTGCTCTGGGCGCAGGCCCAGCCGGGCACCTTCCCGCTCCTTCCTCACCACCCCCAGCAAGTCTGCTGTGACCCTCACCCAAGGATCCCAGAGGCTCCCTCCAGCCTGGGCCCCCACACGCCCCCGCCCATGGCCACACCCACATGAGCATGGCGCAGCAGACGAGGAGGAGGAAGTCAAAGCGGTTGTCATCAGCGAAGAGGGAGTCCCAGATACGAATGACGTCAGGCAGCAAGAACTCTTGGGACAGCAGCAGCGTCAGCCAGCGGAAGGCAAAGAACTGGGGCTTGATGTTCTGCTCTTGCTGGGGGGAGAGAGGCACGAGAATCCGAGCTGCCTGGATGCCAGGTGACACCGCGCAGTTCTCAGAGGTGAACTCAGATCAGCAGTGGCGCCCAGGACCTAACCACACCGGGGGGGCGGGGGGCACTGGGCCCCTAGAAGGCCTCGCTGGGTTGAGGGGGTGGCCGCTGCCTGCGGCCAGCCAATGCTGTCGGGTCTTCTGATTTTTTGTAAAAAGAAGGCAAAAACCCAAACTTTTATATCAGCTCTCTAGATTTATAAATGGTTGCTTGGGTTCTTTTCAAACACTGTGCGGACTATAGACAGACAGAGAGACCACTAACCGGGCGCTTACTGCACGCCCGGCCCTGGGCCCAGCACGTTAAGTATGGCATCTCACTCCTTTATTCCGCACAACAACCCTTCGGGCCAGTTACTCCCCGCAGACCCGAGGCCTCTGGTCAGCCACGGTGAGTATTATTAACTGAAAAGGCGTATTACAAAACAGCAAAAACATAATTCCATATTTGTTTCAAAAACTCTTTATATATTTCCTTATTCCCAAAACTCTTTGTGTTTATATATAACTTATTTTTACTGAAATGTTTTCTGAAATAAGCATGGAATACCACTACAATAATTTTTTTAAAGGTTTTTTATTTATTTATTTTTAGAGAGAGAGGAAAGGAGGGAGAGAGGGAGAGAAACATCAATGTGTGGTTCCCTCTTGTGCGCCCCCTACTGGGGACCTGGCCCACAACCCAGGCCTGTGTCCTGACTGGGAATCAAACCAATGACCCTTTGGTTCACAAGCTGGCGCTCAATCCACTGAGCCACACCAGCCAGGACCACCAGTACAATAATTTTTAAAAATTATTCTTAAGTTAGCCTTGGCCATGCTCAGTGGGTTAGAACATCGTCCCCGTACACCAAGGTTGCGAGTTCAATCCCAGTCAGCACACATACAAGAATCGATTAATGAATGCATAAATAAGGAGAACAACAAATTGATGTTTCTCTCTCCTGCCCCCCTTCTCTCCCTAAAATCAATTTTTCAAAAAATTATTAACTTTTAAAAGTGAATTTACCCTTCTTTTCTCAGGGGACAAACAGGCTGAACTCAGGAAGTGCATGGCAAAGGCCTGGCCCGGTGCCTGGCACTCAGTGGGCCCTGTACGCACTCCCCGCCACCGCCAGCCTGCCGGGACACCCAGCATCTGCTGCCTGGTCTCGCAGCAGTGGCTAAGCGCTCCCTGAGCAGCCGCAGCCACTTGCCATCCCAGACTCAAGCCAGAGCTCGCCCCGGACCAGGGGTGCTCAGGAAGTCTGCGGTCCTCTGCCCCTTTCCCTCCGGTCCTGGGGGTCCTCACCAGTTTCAGGTAGAGTTCCACATCCTTGTCCTTCAAGGTGGAGTACACCTTTTCCATCTTGTAGGTGATGCCACACTGCGAGTCGTCCAGGCTCTTGATGAAGTTGTCCCGGATCTCAGCCATGAGGTTGGTGAAGCAAAAGAAGGTGTCTGCCTCGGCGTGCTCTGGACGAGACGGGCAGGGTGAAGGCTGCTGAAAGAGAGCTGGAGCCCTCCCGAGCCCCACCCCAAATCTCACCTATGGGAGGGAGACCCCTTCCTTCACCTCAGAGTCACCGAGTCACCGCCCTGCCATGGTCAGGCTCCATACCTTCTCTATCCTTGACCTCTCTCCACCCCCGACTAAGGATATCACTTCTTTCTTCCTGTGTCTTCTGGCAACACTGTACGCTCCTTATCAATTCATTACACGCTCTTCTGATGACATTTTTCAAATCATTATTTATTTAAATTCTTTCTAACCACTCAACTTCCTGTATATACAACTCATCTCTTCTATCAGAAATTCCATTAAAATATCAAGAGCTCAGCAAACTTCCAACAATCTAGAAAGTCTGAGCCGGATTAGATCTGAGAGAGGATCCAGGCCAACCCCCTTGAGAGGGCAAATGGAGGCCCAGAGATCAGATGTGAGCTGCACGGCCTGAAAAAGCCCGTTAGCCTGGCTTTCCGTGGTCCCATTTTCCAGGGCACCAGCAACCAGACACGAGCCCTGGTTCACCCAGAGTCCTTTTACCTTTCCACTCGTGGTTGGGGTCGGTGGCAAAGGTATAGTAGAGGGGCCCCACGATCTCATTCATGCCCTGCACGTAAGCGATGCCAGGGTTGAGCTTGGCGTAGATGAACAGGATCCGCTCCACCACCTCCCAGTGGGCCTCGCAGCCGTTGGGCAGCACCTGGTACTCATTCAGGGACGCTGGCGTCGAGCTCTTGTGTGGGGAGCTCATCTGGGGGAGGAGAGGAGGAGCCCATGAAGATGACAGGTGGCATTTTGAACAATATGTTCTCACCAGCAATGTCTACCATGAAGCCTAAACCTAATTTCCAGCTCATGGGAAATCCAGGATGTAGAGGAACATGTCATACGCCACCAGAAGGAAACAAGTGGATCAGCCCAGGATGGGGGACACTCTAACAAGACAGCTGGACTAAGTTCTAATTTACGGTGAAAAAAGAACAAACAGAGCTTCCCTCTGCAGAGAGGGCTACCGGCTGGGCGGGGGCACTTTCTGGGCGATAGAAATGCTCTGTGTCTTGTTCTGGTTGGCATTTACACAGGTGGGCACAGAAAAAACGTCCATCTAGTTGCATCTGTGACATTTGTGCATTTTACTGCATGTAAGTTATACTGTACTTCAATTTAGAAAACAAAATTTAAATATATGAAAAACAGACAATTGGCTAAGTGTCTTCAAAAGTGAAATGCTGGGGGGCTGGGGGGCAAGGGGGGGCCTGCTTCCGATAGAGACTAGAGGAACATAGCATCCCAACGCAACACGCAAACCTGCGCTGGTCCTTGTTTGGAAGTAAAAAACCAAAAATATTCTCAGCACAACCAAGGACACGGAATCGTGGATTGGATGACAGGTGTTATCATGCAATTACTGATAATTTCCTAGAGGTGCTGGTAAGGGGGAGGATGTCCTTATGCCCAAGAGACGCCTGCTGACGTTCTCGGGGTTGAAGGTATGACCTGCCACTCACTCTCTGTCATACACAAAGATGGCAAAATGTTAACTGTTAAATTTAAGCGGAAAGTGTATGGGTGTGCACTGTACTTTTTCAGCTTTTCTGAACATTTCAAAATTTTCTTAAGAAAAAACTGGGAGGTAAATAGAGATGATAATCCCTGCTCAAAATTTGTGCAACAGAGCCGGGGTGCCCATCGCTGCCCCCTAGCAGGGTCCTCGGGAGCTCCATAACGCATCTGGTGCCTGGGGCACCCCTGCATGAGCGAGTCCCAGGCAAGCCCAGGCCAGGACGGAGCAGGAAGCCATCCTGGAAGTGTAGGGCCCTGGGGACATTCAACTCTCGTTCCCATTTTACATACATGTGCACACATGCACACACCACCACCACCATTTACCGTGAGCTCTCTATGTGCAAGACAGTGCTCTGCAAGTATGTGTCCATGTAATGCTCTAACCACCTAGAATATTCTCTCAACTTCACTTTCGAGATGAGGAAACTGAGGCTCAGAAAAGTTAGGTCACTCCGCAGGTCTCGCATTAAGTGGCAGCACTGGGATTTGATCCCAGACTAGCTGACTCCCGAACCTGAGGTCCAGGCCTGCGAATGCACAGTGCTTTCCAGCTTTCCAAGAATCTGCACAGACATGACCTCATGGCCTCATTACATCTTCCTGGCAATTCTAAAGCCAGGCAGGGCAGAAAGGATTATGCCCCCATTTCCAGAGGCAGCAGTGGAAGCCTAGGAAGGTAAGCCCAGTACGGCGTGCCCAGAGTCAAACACATGGTCGGCTTTAACTCTAACTGCTCCACCACGGGGCCAGACATCTAGTAGTGAGGCTTTCCGGTCTGGTGCTCTGCCCTCAGGACAAGGTCCAAACCTAAAATGGGCAAGAGCTTGGCTCCCAGTCTCCAATGACTTCAGTGAAGCCAATGACAGAAGCCAAGTCCTGCCACCAGGACGTCGGCAGCCGAGTAAGAGGGTGGCCCACACAGCAAGCCCCGTGGTCGCTTTGCCGAGCACGCTGCACCTCCCAGCGCACCCTCCCCTGTCGCAGGCATGAGGAAGCCTGGGGCCAGCTGTAGCTGCCCGTCACCTCCGCAGCAGGAAGTGGCTGCTCTCCTAGGGACACAGAGCCTTAATCGGTCATTGCACTTATCTGTCCCTAGCTTTTTGCAGGTTACAGAGGACTGTTCCATTGCTGGAGGACAGCAAAAAATTTTGAGCAAGTCGGAGCTCCAGGTACCAAAGCAGTAGACACGAGTTAACAAATAAGATCACATGCTTGTTTGGCCAATAACAGGAGCCTGTGGAAGGCTGGGATTCAAACACTCAGCGTGACCTGGCCAGCGCAAGCCCTCTCAATTCCACCTCCTAAGTCTCTGAGATCCATCCCCCCTCCACCCCAGCCCAACTCCCCGCTCCCCCAGTCACCCTCCCCATCTCTATTCCTGCCCCTTCCAATCAAACGCCCCACAGCGCCAGCAGCAGTCGTCTAGGAGGGCAGACCGGAACCACATCACCGTCCTGAGAATGCTACAAGGGCCCGCCAGCCTTCGCGATAAAGGCCCGTGTGGCCTCACCGCCAACCGCCTCTCCAGCGCCCTCCAGCAACCCTCCTGTTTTCTCCGCGGCCTCTCGCCACGACGGACTCCTCCAACCCGTGAACACCCTACACCCTCTCCCGCCTGAGGACTTCCACATGCCCTCCTCCCCGCCTGGAAGGGTCTTTCCTCCTGGCTCTTCGAGCCTCAGCCTCAACGTCACTTCCTCAGGGAAGTCCTCCCTGATGGCCCGACCAGGTCAGCTCCCCTCCCCGCATCGCTCCCATCACACTTGTCCTTCCTGTGGAGAGAGCCACCTCCGCCGCCACAGCAGCGCAGCTCCTTCACTGCGCCGCAGGGACCTCTCCCAGCAGCCATCACACCCAGCCTCCATCCTGATCCCTGACTTTCCCGAAGAGGCCTGGCAGAATCAAAGTTGCCTTGAGTAACCACCAGAGAAGACGGCCATGGGCACAGGGGACAGTGGCCAAAGGGAAGCAAAAGGAAAGGCTGCCGTGGGGAGTCCCTGGGGCCCCTAGGCTGCCTCTCACATTTGTGACCCCGCTCCGGTTCCGGGCCACCGTCTGAGATTTCAGTGTCGTCTGTTCCACCCGCTTACGAAGGGTCTCAAACTCATTCTGGGGGTCCAGGATGAGGAGGCACGGGTACTCAGTGGCCCGCTGGAAGAAGGATATGTCTGGGCACAACCTCCTGTCAAGAGGGAACAGGGGAGAGTGCCGTTACTCAGGACAGAGGTTTTAGACATTCCAACATCCCAAACGACATTTTTTTAAAAAAATAATAACGCTGCCCTGGCTGGTGTGGCACAGTGGATTGAGCGCTGGCTTGTGAAAGGTCGCTGGTTCAATTCCCTGTCAGGGCACATGCCTGGGTTGCAAGCCGGGTCCTCTCACACACATTGATGTTTCTCTCCCTCTTCTTCCCCCTCCCTACCTCTGTCTCTAAAAATAAATAAAATCTTAAAAAAAAATGACATTATATTTTTTAAAAAATCTAGTTTTCAAGAGGCAATATAGTCATTATAATATCTATACCCATCTTATGTGTATTTGCAAATAGATCCACGAGCGTATATATGTCCTTATGCTCTTACGATCCAACTCCCTTAGACCACAGACATCTTTCCATGTCAAAAATATCTAACATGTACAAGAGCATTAACTGTAGTGTGGTTTAAAATGGTTAAAGAGGTCTGGTTAAATTACACATTGTACAGTAGAATATTACACAGCTAACACAGGAAATAAATGTTCAAGACAAAGTTGAGCCCTGGCTGGGTAACTCAGTTGGTTAGAGCATTGTCCCAATACACCAAGGTTGCAGGTTCGATCCCCAGAGAGGGCACATACAAGAAGCAACCAATGAATACATAAGTAGATAGAACAACAAATTGATGTCCGTTTATCTGTCTCTGTCTCTCTCTCCCACCCCCCACCTAAATAATCAAATATAAAAAAAGCAGGTTGAAAACAGTCTCAGGAACATGATCCAGTGTTTAACATACATGCCCTGCAGGATACACACAGTTTGCAGACTGCTTATACACAGCACATTGCAAACGTGGCCTCTGGAAACACTGAACAACACGCTACCATCAGCACCAGTGTAAGACAGAACCTGTTCCTCCAGAACCGGGTTCAAGACACAGTTCTTGATTTACACAGGACCATTAAAACCCTTTGTGAACAGAGGCTGCCCCAACACCAGCCTGAAAACGAAGGCGAGAGCCCCCCTCTGCATCCTGGCTGGGCTGCCCTGGGCAGGGGTCCCACCTGAGGCCGCCTGCAGGTGGACCTAGGCACAACAAGCACCAGCCGAGGAGCAGCACCCAGGGGCAGCGGCTGGAAACGCAACTGACACCTGGGGAAGGTGGAGCCCACAGCAGGAGGCTGGACTCCAGAGGCCAAGCCTGAAGGGCTCAGCCCCCCGCCCCCCCACAGCCCCACGGCAGACCAGGCCTTCCTTCAGCTCCACCCCAGCCCGCGGGGGAGTCTACCCACGGTCACTCCCCAACCCGACAGGATGGCACAGCCAGCATTTCCTCAGTTCTATACCAAGTGGAAAAGCACACTCATGCCCACACTGTAGCTCACAGTTAAGGGGGGAAATAAATAAATAAACACTTGTCTGACGCTGTTATTCCTGTGCCGAAAACCTTATATGACTGCCCCACATCCTTGGATCAAGTCCACCCATGTGTCCCTCCAGTGTGGCTTCAACCACACTGCCCTTCACACTGCTTGTGAACACGCCCAGCTCCGCCCGCTCCCAGGCCCCCCCCCCCCCCCCAGGCAGGCAGATGCCACCCACCACGGCCGCTCCCTCCCTCTTCCCCCAGGCCCCCGACTCCCCAGGCCCCGGCTGGAACACTGCTTCTGCAGGCTCAGAAGGCGTCCCGCACGCCGGCAAACACCCTGACTCTTCCTCCAGAGCATCTACCGTGAATGCTCATCCCCCGGAAGACCTGACCTGCGGAGCACCTGTCTTCCCCTCCTCCCCCTAAGGTTCTAGGTTCCTCTGCGGGAGGGACCGTGACTGTCTATTCAGCCTCAACCCTGAGCTCGGCCCTGGGGCTGCCACAGGGCAGGGGCTCCGTGTCCACCTGATGAAGGAATGATCGGCTGAATCCACGAATGCCGAGGAGAACTGACACTAAGGCAGGGAGAAAAGAGAGCCAGGCGCAGGCAAGCACAGGACACCGCCGCCCCATACACTCTCACTGCTCTTGCCAGCCCCATTCTCAGGCCCCCATCGCTGGGGCCTGGACCTGACTACCCAGATCGCCCACCAATGGGCTTCTCACACCGCTGCCCGACCCCAGGGGCCTGGGCTGGAAAGGGAAAGGGCGGAGCTGGGAATCCCCTGAAGCCCCCTGGGCCCGCCCCCAGCCCCCGCGTACCGGACGTCTTTGTCGATCTGCAGCAGCACCTCATTGTCCTTGAAGTACGTGTTCCACCGGCTGTCGGGGTTGGGGTTGAGTGGCTGTGGGGTGAAAATCAGCTGCTGTCCTAGGCTAGAGAGGGCCCCAGAGGCAGGCACCAGTTTGGAGGCCTGAGCAGTGGCCTCACACCCACGACCCCATCGGGGGCCCAGCTGCGCCCCTGGCACAGCCTTGGAGGAGCGCATCGGCCTCCGGCAGCCTCGCAAATCCCACTCACACTCCACAGCTACAAGCCAAGCCCTGCTCTCTGCTCTGAGCGGATCCCTGCTTGGCAGGCCTCTTCTGTCTGTCTGCTGCTCTGGCTCTAGGATGCTGCATGTAACAGGTGCTCACTAAGGGCTTGTTGCCTGAATGAATGGATGAATGAATGTCGTATCACGGAGCCTCTTCAAATCTAACTCATCAATGCTTGGAGTCGCCAACTGCAATCCTTGGAGGAGGGGCCTGGGTCTGATGCATCTCCACTTCCTACATTGCAAAGCACACAGGGCGAGGCTCAGTCCTGGAGGATGGAACGAGGCTCCCACCAGGCCACAGAAAGGCCGTTTACCCTCACCCCCACTCCCTCAGACTTTCTTCAACTGCCAAAGGAGACCGTGTCTGCGGAGGGCCTGGCTCAGCGCTGCTCACACAGCACTCCCCGAGTGCCGGCTATCACCTATGTGCCTGAATGGGCCCCGGGAGAAAGGGGAGAGGCAACAGCCTGCAGGGGCTGAGCAGCCAAATGAAGAAAGAAGGTACTGGAAGGGCCAGGCGGCACTAAGACCAGCTGCACCTATCCTCTGAGGTGGGGGGCGCCTTGCCCACTCCAAAGCCCACACCCCTCCGCACTCTGCAGCCTCAGTCCCCGCTGATGACTCCTACTCACATGGTCCTCAAAGGTCACATCCTCCCTGGACACACCCAAGTTGGCCTTGGCAATGCCAGGCTGGATGATCATTTCCCTCAGGAACTGAGAATATAGCTCCCTGCAGGAGACAAGAGAAGGGAGAGATGATTCCTAAAGGTCCTGCCCAGGGAGCCCAGAAGAGAGAGGCACCGACAGGAGGCAGGCCAGGTTCAGCCTCACGTGTTCTGATACAGAGACCCTCCCATCAGCCCCCGTACCCGGGGTCTTACCTCTGCTTGGCCAGGATGGAGGTCCATGAGGCTCTCTCCAAAGGGAGGTAGTTCAAGAGAATCTGCACAGAGGGGAAGGAGCAAAGCTCTGGGACTCGCCCAGCCCAGCCCTGGACAGGCGGCGGAGGCTGACAGGCCCCAAGGAAAAGGCCTGATAATGCCCAGAGAGGACAGGAAGGGCTGAAGGCTAGAACACAGGCATGGGCCGGGGGCGCCTGCCCTTTATCCCAAACCAAGCCTTTCCTCTTCTTTTCCTCACACAGACTCTTCCAAATGATAATAAGACCTTGTGCCCAAAGGAGCTGGAAACGAGGATACTGGGCTTCCACTCCCATATCAGCTAAGAGCTTTGGACAGAGCACAGCCTCTTCTGTCCCAATACACGTCACTGCCACTGCTCTGTCTAGACCAGGAAGCAAAGGGCTTCACTGACATTACAAAGTATTCCATCCCCAGAGGAATCCTGGAAGGGAACCAAGAGAGACCGAAAACCCAGGGCTTCCCAGGGAAGTTTCCCCAAAGTCAGCAAAGGGGCAGAACAGAAAGAAGGGGCCCGGGGTGGGGGCAGCCCATGCAGGAACCCAGGGACTTTCAGCAGAGCAGGAGCCCTGCCCAGGCACACCCACCTTCCAACAGAGGCACCGCAGTCCGCCCTCACAGGGGATGCCTGTGGACACAGCAGGCAAAGGTCACGCCCTTAGGCCGGAGTCCCACAATCCCCCCGGCCCTCCACCTCGGAGCCAGCTGGCAGGGAGCAGAGTGAGCGAGAAGTACTTCTCCAAGAATCATTTTCTGCCACAAAGGCTACTAGACTAGATGCTAATCCTGTCCATATGCATCTCTCTCCATGACCCCTGACCCCGACCCTTTCCCCCAGGCCAGAGCTCCCTCTGTCTGGGCTGTTCTTTTGAGGATAACACCTTCTTTTACTGGATATTTCTTCCTCAGAGTGGCCTATACCAACCACCATCTCTTCCCGATCAGTCATGTTACCCATTATAAATAGTGACTCCACGACTTCCTCGGAGCATCTGTCACTTCTTGGATTACGTAACATAATTTGTGTACTTATTTAATATCTATAACCTTAACTACCAGGTAAGCCCCAGAAAGACAAGAAGCATATTTGTCTTACATTCCCAGTACCTAGCACAGGGCATGGCACACAGAAGGTATTCTGTAAGTACGTGTGGAGTATAAGCTAAGCTACGAATGCTAAGTGTTTTGTGCTCTATGGGCCTAACTGTACTGAATCCTCATTATAACCCTAGTAAGTAGGGAAGATCAGCATCATTGCCCCCATCTTAGAGATAAAAAACCTCATCTGCCCTGGCTGGTGTGGCTCAGTGGATTGAATGCCAGCCTGCGAACCGAAAGGCTGCCCTTTCAATTCCCAGTCAGGGCCTTGGATTGCGGGCCAAGTCCCCAGTAAGGGGGCGCACGAGAGGCAACCGATGCAAGTACCTCTGGCACATCAATGTTTCTCTCCCTTTCTTCTCCATCCTTTCCCCTCTCTCTGAGAATAAATAAATAAAATCTTAAAGAAAAGAAACTCATATATAAGGAAAGAGCAATCAAGGACTCCAACACAGGTCTGACTCTAGAGCCCAAGCTCTTCACAAGGCCGCAGGCTGCCACCCCTGAGGCCTGGCAGATTTTTCAACTCAGTCCAGTGCCCGGACCCCTCACAAGACCTTGAGAGCCTAACTATCACTCTAGAAGAGAAAAAACCCTGCAATTCCATCAGACACCTTGATAAGCAGCTGTTGTATTATGAATAGGAGGTAATGCCCCCATCTCGGAATCCACATGGGGATGCGGGAAGCTACTCAAGAATTCCTCGCTGACAAAGTTACAAAGGCAGAGCAGCGACAAGACACTATACAGAATACCCTGGGGGTTTTTTAAAGATGAACCAAAATCTCTTGCCGGAAGGTTAACCGTGCCAGCGAGGGCAAAGTCAAACACCGCTGAGGTGCAGCTCCTTCAAGCCAGTGTCTCAAGGCTGGAATCTCACCATTAACCAAAGTTCACTGTCGCCTGAGTAGGCTTTGATCCCAAGCCAGGGAGAGAATCAGGAACTACTCTGCAGCTCACCAAATTCTACAGCCCAGGAAGCTTGCTGGAATGAGGGAAGACCCGGCCTCAGCTCAAGAAGTCTCCCCACTCTCTTCTTCTCATCTTCAGTCCTTTCCAGTTACTCCAAGGAAGCAACCAGCATCATTCAGATGCCAATTAAGCACCCTAAGGCCCACAGGCAAGCTAACTGTGGCCACTAGGAGTGGCTGCCACTCCTCTGGGCACTCCCTCCAAGCTCAGGAGAGTCCCTGCTCGTTCAGCTCCACAGGACCTGAACCAAGAGGCAGGCTGGCCCCCAGGACGGAGCAGGCATGGCCTTGGACATGTCCCCCTCCACCCTAGCTGCAACATTGCTCTAGGAAAACCCTGAAAATGAAGAGCTGCCTCTTACCACTAAAACTGAGTTCTCGAAGCTTTTCCAAGGCGATTGTGGGCTCCTTCAGCACATCCTGGAAATCTGCAATCCTAGAAGACACGAAGAGGCAAATGAAGTTCACTTAAACTGAAAGATGACGGGCTTAGTAACCACTCCTCAACCCACAGTTCCATTACGCCACCAATCTCCAACCTGTTCCTCGCTTCCCTTTAGGACCTAAAGATGGCAGTCAGTCAAGGTCCTAATCAAAGTCCACATTAGGGAGCTACAGAACTATTGATCATGCCTTCCTCTAAGCCCAGAAACAGAAATGTTCTCGCCCAGACATTCTCAAACAAGCACCGTGAAATTAGATACATTCTGTCATTTAGTGAGCTGGCACTTATTGGGCACTTCCTGCTGGCCAGGCCCAGCCCACAGCTCCACTATCTGAACTCCATGAACCCTAGGAACCAGGAGTAATTTGATCCGTAGACAACGGAACTGTGGAACCTGCATGCAGCTCTCCAGGCTCAAAAATATAACCATTAGAAGTCCTTTGGGCCTGCAGGCAGGCAAGGACAAAAGGATTTAAAAAACAAGTCCTGGAAGAAAACTGAAGACGGAGCAAAATTTAGCCAACGCGGCAGGATCTGGCCTGGGAGAGGGGACGGACGGGAGAATCCAGGTTTTCTAGAATCTCTAGTAAAAACAAGCACGGGGAACGGGGAGCATTTGGAAAGAGGAGGGTACTGAGACAGAGAGTTGACAAGGGAGACAACAAGGATGGGGTGGTGGGGCGTGGGGAACTGGTCATTGAGGCCCTGAATCAGGAAGACGCCAGGGAAGGGGGAAGCCAGGGGTTCTACGTAAGGGCGAAACAGAAAAGCGGTGACACTGGGGAGAAACGGAGGCAGAAGTGCCTCCATTCCGAGCTCTGTCAGGCCCACAGGCAATGAGAAGTAGGAACCCGGGCCCCCCTGCCCGGGGACGGCTGGTGCCTGGCCGCATCTGCGCGCCCCCTCCGCTGGGCAGAGGTAGCGGACTGGCCAGGACTGGCCTGGCCGGGTTGGCCTAAGGGCCCTTACCGGCTCTTGTGCAGACTCGACATGGTGTTGACTTCCGGATCCCCCTGCTGCCTCGGTCGCCTCCGCCGCCGCCCCCCAGGGACCCGGGGAGCTCAGCAGAGGCCTCCGACCGGAAACGCAGCCGCCCGCGTGCACGTTCCGCCCCGCCCCGCCCCGCTCACGTGCCGCCCCCTTTCCCAGTGGCCGGTTGGGTGGGCGGGATAGCGGGGGCTAAGACCACGCCCCCACCCCGCCCCTACCCAGCCAGTAGGGCCTCTGGCCAAGTTTGAGGATGCGCTAGCGACCCGGTAGATGGTGTGTTGTAGGGCTCGCTCTTCCTCGCTCTTTCCTGGGCCTCCCTTTCTCTCTGCCTGTCACCGTGTCTCCCTCCTTGTACGTTCCTCACCCGCAATAAACTATTGCGTCATTGTTTCAGGAATGTGCTTTCTCTGCCACACTATACAGGTTTTTTTCACTGCGAAATCTTCAACCCCCTGTAGTAGTGATCGCAGAGAAGGTGATTCAATAAATATGGATGGAAAGCTGGACTACAGTTCAGTGTTTCCGTTACTTTTGGATTTTATAAACAGGAAATTTACTATAACATAACCCTGGCAGGGTAACCCAGATGGTTAGAGCGTCATCCCCATATGCCAATTTGCAGGTTGGATCCCGGTGAGGGCACCCAGAAGAAGCAACCAAGGACAAAATAGACAGGGGGAGGTTACGAATAGTACAGGAAGTGGAGAAACCGAACTTATACGTACGACCCATGGACATGAACTAAGTTGGGGGGGCATGCTGGTGGGAGGGGGGTGCAGAGGGGAGGGGAATAAAGGGGAGAAAAAATGGGACAACTGTAATAGCATAATCAATAAAATATACTTAAAAATAAAATAATTAAAAAATGAGAAGCAACCAAGGAATGCATAAATAAATGGAACAACAAATTGGCATTTATCTCCCTCTCTAAAAATCAATAAATATTTTTCAAAAAAGGAATTTAATACAGAAAAAGAAAGCCAAGATTTCTATACCCTTTCCGAGAAAAGGCAGCTGGCAGCCGTACAGTGATTTTCTCTACATATATGTGCTTGTGTGCATAACTGTCCTTATTTTTTAAATTTCTTGAAATCCCCTCCAGCTCTCATGTGCATGCCCAGCAAGGACCTCACTGCCCACTGGGGCAGGCACACAGATCTCTGTTCCTCTGTCCACTCCTCCCACAGTTTCTGCTGCCACTGTGTGCTAGGTACTGTGCTAAATGTTTCTGCAGAACACAAGGATCAAGTTCCTTTATACTAAATATAAGAAATGAACAAATGTTGACTTAATTGTACAACAGGAAAGGAATTTTTTCCAGAAAAAAAAAAAAGAATACTAGCCAGGCCTCGAAAATCTTGGTTAAGAATACAGGGTAAAATACAAATGGTATGCTAAGAAAAATACAGATTGTTGGCTATCCTTTGGAAAAAGTTAAGTTCTATTCCTACATTACATCTGACAAAAATTAATTCTAGATGAATTAAATCTCTTCAAGGGAAAAATCTATGGGACTAGAAGAAAAATATACAGAAAAGTGTTTATAATCTTGCAGAAGGAAGACACAGGTCCAGAAGACATGAAAGATAAGACATATATAGCTAAATAGACAATTAAATTTCTATATGATAAAGTAAAAGGCAAATATCAATAGGGGAAAATATATACATCCTTGTGAAAAAAGATAAATATCCCTAACATACAGAATTCTTAAATCAAAAGAAAAGACAAATACCCCCATAAAAAAATTAACACTCATTCATTCAAGACTTATCGAATGCCTATGATGTGCCAGGTATGCTCTACGTATTGGGAACTTAGTAATAAACAAAACAGACAAAAACCTCTGCCCTTGAAACATTGACATTTTGGTGTGGGGAGACATGTTAAGTAAGATCAATAAGTAAACTCAACAGTGTGCCAGATGGTGATAAATCCTACAGAGGAAACTAAAGCAGGAGCAGGTACTGGGTGGTACTATGATTTTAAACAGCGAGGTCAGGAAAGTTGCTTGGAGGTGACATCTAAGTAAGGTTCTGAAGGAGGTAAGACAGAGAAGACATAAAAACATCCCACGGAAACATAAAGTGACATTAAATTGGACTAATACTCAAAGGACTATGAATTGAAAAACCTCTTGGATTAGTAAAAAATTTATTTTTAGCTCTGGCTGGTATGGCTCAGTGGATTGAGGGCCGGCCTGCGAACCAAAGGGTGGCCAGTTCTATTCCCCGTCACGGCACCTCCCTGGGTTGCGGGCCAGGTTCAACAGGGGGAACGCGAGACGCAATCTCACATCCATGTTTCTGTCCTTCTCTTTCACTATCCCTTCCCCTCTCTCTGAAAATGAATTTATTTTTTTAAAGATTTTATTTATTTATTTTTAGAGAGAGGGAAAGGGAGGGAGAAAGAGAGGGAGAGAAACATTAATAAGAGAGCACATGCCCCACCAGGGCTGAACCCGCAACCCACGCATGTGCCCTGACCTGACTAGGAATCCAACCAGCGAACTTTTGCTTTGCACGATGACACCCAAGCAACTGAGCTACGCTGGTCAGGGCTGTAAAAGTAATTTTTATTTACTACACCCACCATCACTAAGTTGCAGAGAAACAGACCTCTCTCAAACAGCTTTAAAGAGAGTTTAACTGGTATAACTTCTATTTGACAAGCACTAATACAATTTTTTAAAATTTGTATATCTTTGCTTTTTTTTACTTTTCAAACTTTTTGTTTTGAAATATTATAGGTTCACAGGAAGTTACAAAGGTAGTACAGGTAAGTCCTTCGTATTCTTCACCCAGTTTTCCTCAGTGGTTTTATTTTAATGCAATTTTACCAGCTTCAGGATAAAACTGGTGTTCCATAAACTTCACATGTTTAAAGGGCACCCTGTGATAAGTTTAGATGTATATATACACATACCTGTGAAACCATCTTCACAATTAAAATAATAAACACACCCATTGCCCCCCCAAAACATCCCTTCTGCCTTTTTGTATCTCCTCCCTTCTTATCCTTTTTGTTCGCACTGCTCCCCCGACTCCAGATAACCACTGATCTGCTTTCTGTCACTGTAGGAGGGGGGGGCCTCCCTAAAAAAACAGAATTCATTTATTTAAAAAATGTATGTTTATTCTTACACATTTAAACTTCAGCCACCTTCAAGGTACACACCTCTTGAGACTTTTTTCCACTGCTCAAAACAGATTTTGAACTCTTTGATTTTATGCCTTTTAGTGCTTCTGCTATTCTTTTGTTTCACTTCTTCCACATCGGCAAAATGTTCCCTTTGAGGACTTTTTTTATCCAGGGAAACAAAGAAGGTTGCTTGAGGTGAGATCAGGTGAATAGGGAGGGTGGGGCACAGGCGTCAGGCCCATTTTGGTCAAAAACTGCTGAGGAGTAAGCACAGTGTGGGCAGGTGCAGTCGCAAATCACCCATCATGAAATGGGCAAATGCATTGAAAGAGTCTTCAAAAAAAATTCACTGAAGCTGAACGCAGCCTCTCACAACACCACCAGCTGGTGCACTGATCCAGATGGGTTCCTAGAACACTCACCTAGCAGAGGAAGTCTGTACCACAAAGGGCCCACCCTCCAGAAGACAATTCTGGCATTTTTGGGTCCCTCCCTGTAGATTAGTTTGCATCTTCAAGAATTGTACATAAAGGGAAACATACACTGTGTGCTTGGTTTTTATCTGTTCTAACATGCATTTCCTTAAAGACTAAGGATACTGAGCAACTTTTCATGTGTTTGCCACCTATATATCTTCTTGGGGAAAATTATTTTTCAAAGCTATTTCCTAATTTAATTAAATTACTTGTTTTCTCACTGAAACTGACTTCTGAGAATTCTTTAGATTTTCTGGATACATGTCCTTTTTTATTTGTATGTTTTAAAATTATATGTTATTGATTATGCTGTTACAGTTGGCCTGATTTTTTCCCCCTTTGCTCCCCTCCACCCACCATCCTCTCCCCTGACCCTTGTTCATGTCTATGGGTCATACATGAAAGTTCTTTGGCTACTTCCTTTCCTATATTGTATTGTACATCCCCATGGCTATTCTGTAACTACCTATTTGTACTTCTTAATCCGCTCACTTCTCACCCATTCTCCCATACACCCCTCCCATCTCTCCATCTTTAACCTTTGGCATTTTAATTATGACATGTCTTGGGGTGAGCTTCTTTGTTTCCATCTTGTTTAGGACTCTGTGTGCTTCCTGGACTTGCATGTTTATTTCCTTCACCAAATTAGGGAAGTTTTCTTTCATTAATAGATTCCTAATTTCTTGTTCTTTCCTCTTCTCCTTCTGGTACCCCATGAAGCAAACGTTGGATTCTGAAAGTTGACCCACAGGCTGTTTACACTGTCCTTGTTTGTTTGGATTCTCTTTTCTTATTGTTGTTCTGATTGGTTGTTTTTTGCTTCCTTATGTTCCAAATCATTGATTTGATTCTCAGCTTCATTCACTCTACTGTTTTTCCCTGTAAATTGTTCTCTAGTTCACTTAGTGTATCCTTTGTTCCTGACTGGATCCTTTTTATGCTGTTGAGGTCCTCACTAAGTTCCCCGAGCATCCTTATAACCAGTGTTTTGAACTCTCCATCTGACAGACTGCTTATCCCCGTTTCATTTAGCTCTTTTCCTGAAGTTTTCATGTGCCCTTTCATTTGGGCCATGGTTTTGTTGTTATTTTTTTCTCCTTGTCTTGGCAGCCACCCCATGTTTGTTTCTATGTATTAGGTAGAACTGCTTGGACTATGTGTCTTGGTAGTGTGGCCTAAGGTAGAAGGGGTCCTGTAGGGTCCAGTGGCACAGCCTCTCCTATCACCCAAGCTGGGTACTCGAGGTGCCCACCCTTCGTGTGGGCTGAGTATATCCTCCTCTTGTAGTTGAGCTTTGGTTGCTGTTGGCAGATCAATGGGAGGGATTTACCCAGGCCAGTCAGCGGCAACGATTGGCTGTGACCACTGGCCACCAACTTTCACGCTCCATGGGGGATCAGCTGTGCAGGGGCAGGGTGGTGGTGCTCTGATGTGGTTGGTAGCTGCCCACTGGGTATGCTGGCCCTGGGGTTTCCTGGGTGGTGCTGGCCAAAGTCAGCCCCACCTGTGTT